AAGGGGAGCTTGGCGGTGCCCTACCGGCTGTGACCCTCCATCCAGATTCTCTGCTGTGTGAAGGACATGCTCAGTAATCAGATACAACTATGGGCCTGTGGACACTTCTTAGACGCCCCACGAACCACCGCTGAATCCCTGTGACACACCTCACGTCTCCAACCTCTGCCCTCCCGGAGGACCTGCTGGCATTCTTGTTTCACCTTCTGTATACAGCGTGTCCTCTGTAGGGGAAGGGGAGTGTTAGAGGGCAGGGCAGGATGGAGTTGACCACGCACAGTCCTGCCTCAGGGCCTTTGCCCTCCCTCCCTCTTCCCTCTGCTGGACTTACCTTCCCCTAGATCTTCACAGGGCCTGCACCCCTCTCCCCTCAGAGAGCCTTCCTCCTGTGGCACTCCAGCCCTTCTCCTGCTTTATTAATTCTTCATAACACTTGCTGGTACACGCAACCAGGTTTCTGTGTGTGGGTGTACACGTCTGTGTGTGTATGTGTCGTTTGTTAGTTTACTTTTCAATTATCTGTCGCCCCCACTTCATATAAGTTACATAAAAGCAGGACCTTCTGTTAATTGATTACTATTTCTCCAGGGCCCAGACAGCACCTGACACAAATTGGTGCCCAATAAACCTTTGCTGAAAGAAAGGAAAAGAAGGGAGGGAGGAAGGAAGGAAGGAAGAAAGGAAGGGCCGGAGGAAACAGATTACCTCCTGATCCCTCCCTCCCGAGGGGCTGCATGGGAACACCTGGGAGGCTGGAAAGCCCCCCCCCCCTTCCATGGCCTCCCACCTTGGGCGCCCAGGGCCATCGTGCCGCCTCTTGCTCCAGGCTGGTCCTGTTTATCTAACCCACGTCCGGTTCCCTCAGAACCTGGCAGAGGGAAAGGATGGCCTGACTACGCTGATTCTCTTCGTTTCTCCAGCCCTCCCACAGTGTTAAACTGGTTTGTGAGCAGGTTACTTTTGTATTTGTCTGAGTCTCGTCTTCCCAGACTGGGCCAGCTTTGGGGTCAGCCTGGGACGCGCAGCCTGTGACATCCCTCAGCCCAACGCCCTGGAACTCGGGAGGTCCTGGGTGACTGACTGTCTTCAACCGTGGCCAGCCCCCTGCGTCCCTGCCACGCCTTCACTGGACCACTGGACACTCTGGCTGACCCTGCAGGGGCTGCTGCCCCTGAAACGGAAAGACAGGTGTTTCTCCCTGAGTGATTCCAGTCCCATCTTCAGCGCATCGAAGTGGCCGTGTACTTTCAGAATCAGACTCGTTTTCCTTTTGAGGAAGTTGGACCGAGCTTCTCAGGGAGCGGGCCCGAGGGGGGCCACCCCGAGCAGCAGGCGGCCCCCGCTCTGTAGACGGGTCAGGGGATGTGTCCGTCTGTGATCTGCCATCCCACGGCAAGGCCCAGCTCCCAGAGCCTGCGCCGGCTTCGGTTCAGGCTTGTCGCTGCTGCTGGTGGCCCAGGAGCCCCGAGGGTGTACAGTCAGGCCGTGTCCATTTCCTGAGTGATGCACTAGCCACTCAAGCTGTTTCTTTGGCCAGGACGCTCCTGCCCTCTCCCTGCTGTCCCTCTGCCGGGTGAACCCCTGCTGTCCTGTCACTGAGTCTACGTCACAGGCTCCAGAAGCCTTCCCTGACCCTCGCATCTGGGTTGCCTTTCTATGAGCTGAGGCCTGAGAGAACGGGGCTGTGCCTGTCATGTTCACTGATATTTTCCCAGGGTTGCCCAGCGCCTGGCACACAGAAGGGACTTGATAAGTCACTGTTGTACAGCGTGAATGAATTCCGTGTGTGTGTGTGTCTTACAGAGCCTTTGGCCTGGGGAACCTCATCTCCTATGCCTTTTGTATTCTCTGTAGCCCAAGGTGAAGGCCTCTGCCTGCATCCCGTGCTAAACAGGAATGTGCTTTGGATGCACCTTGATCTGACTCTGAACAGGAGTTAACTGGGTAATTCAGCCTGTTTGAGGTGGGGAAGCTTTGCTGGGAGGGGCCAGAATGGCTAGGAGGCTCCTCTCCTGTCCTTTCCCCACAGGAGCAAGGTAGCCTTGCCAGGCAAATACAGGATATCCAGCTACATTTGAATTTCAAATAAATGACGAACACATTTTTAGTGTATTACACCTAATAAGTGGAGCATGCTGTTGCCAAAAAAATACTAAATTCGAATTTAACTGGGAATCCATCTTTCTCAATCTGGGAACCCTAGTACGGGCAGCCCTGATCAGCCTGGTTCCCCAGGGGGATCTGAGGTCCTACTCATGAGGTACATTCTGCTCACTCTCTTGGTTCTTCCTGTTCTTTAAATAAATGCTTTTGGACAAAGAACATGGTGAGCGCCAGGTGTGGTTTCCCAAAGCTGTTATGAACACACTTAATGCAAAGCCTCTCCCTCCATCTCAACCTCGACCCCAGCCACTGGACTGGATGATCAGGGAGGCCTGTCTCAGAAGTTGAGATCTGAAGGAATGAGCCAAGTGATGATCAAGGCATTCCAATGGAGAGGCAGGAGTGAATGTGGTGAGTCTAGTGTGGTTTTGTGAATTCGAGAAGGGAGAGGATTGCATGGAAAATGCCCTGGACCACAACCTCTGTCCTCAAGAAGGTGCCTTGGTGCTGCTCCACTAGTCGGTCTGTTCTTTCCTACCTCTGCCCCCAGCTGTAGGGTGGAAGCTTCTCTAGCTTCTGTGGCAGGAGTCTCAGCAGCAGGGAGTGGGGAGAGAGTGGGAGTGTCTGCCATCCTGGGCTGGGGATTCTGGCGCTTGATGGCAGTTTAGTGGGATCACCTGCTCTTTAAAATGGTTGAGTGGAGGGGCACCTGGGTGGCTCAGTCGTTAAGCGTCTGCCTTCGGCGCAGGTCATGATCCCAGAGTCCTGAGATTGAGCCCCCCATCGGGCTCCCTGCTCCGCGGGAAGCCTGCTTCTCCCTCTCCCACTCCCCCTGCTTGTGTTCCCTCTCGCTGTGTCTCTCTCTGTCAAATAAATAAATAAAATCTTAATAAAATAAAATAAAATAAAATAAAATAAAATAAAATAAAATGGTTGAGTGGAGCCCTGAGCCCTTAGAGCTAAGTCCCAGTGTGCCTGGTCCCCAGGGAGGCACCTTACCTCCATCAGAGCACCACCTCCATCCCCTCCCCACTGTAAGCCGGCAGGGTATTCTTTCCCTTCTAAGAGGAAAGTGCTGCTGCCCAGGGCCATAGGACCATGGGGGCAGGGGGAAGAAGGACCCAAGGGGCCCCATCCTGCCTCAGCAGGCGTCTCTCTCCCAGCTTTGTAAGGGGTTGAAAGCCCTATACTGGGAAGCTCAGCACTCAAATCACAGAGTTCCCAGCAGGCTCTGCTCCGCTGTGCCACCCTGCCCACTCCAGTCCTCCTCCTCTAAGCCCAGATATACAGGCCAAACAATGGGAAATGGCTCAGCTCCACATTTAACACACAGAGCATTTGTTGCCTGCTGTTTGCCTGTTGGCACACTAAGGAAGCTGTTTCTTAATTTAAAATGTCCATTAACTCCCTCCAACTGGAAAGCTACTCCAACAAATTTATGCTGCAGCAGGTTTAAGCTTGGTCACTCTGAGGGGTGGGCCCTGCTTGTTTGCCCCCTTAGAAGGTGTGCCCAGGGCAGTGGGCACCCTTGGGCATCTTGCCATGGGCTTGAGAGTATGTCTCTCTGTAAGGGGGGAATTAGATCCCCAAGGCCCCCCTTGGCCAGGGTCCTTCAGGAGCCTTTGGCCACTGCCCATGGGAAGCCCACGGTGTGGGAGATAGGGGGAGGGGGAGCAACACCCTGGGGAGGGGTGTCTCTTTTACAACTCCAGGGGAGGAAACCCCATTTCCCTCCTACCCTCAGGCTCTTGGTGAGACTTGCCAGGCATCTGACAGGAAAGAACCTTTTGTTCTGAGCTTGTAAGAAGTCTGAGCTGGACTTGTTATCTACCCACAGCATTTCCTGGATAGGGGGCTGCGGTAGGGGCTGGCCCCAGCCTTGGCCTTGGCATCCTCCTCTTGGCTGTTGGGACAGGGGAGGCTGGCGCTGGCAAGGTCTAGGCCTCCACGAGGCTGGTGAGAACTGGTATTTATCCTTAGGCTGGTTTGCCTGGGGGGTGGGTAGTCAGTCTCAGACAAGGCCCCCTGAGAAAGGGGCGCAAAAAAGAAGTCACCTAGTGTGTGTGTATGTGTGTGTGTTGGGGAGGTGGTACCGGGGAAGGGGTGAGTCCAGCCTTCCCCTCCAGTGACATCTCCCTCGGGGCCAGGAGGGAGGGGATGTGTCCCCCAGGGCTGCGGGAGTTGCAGCGTGGGCCCAGGCCCGGGCCGTGTCTGACACCTAGTGGCCACCTGAGCCCGAGGCGGGGCGAGGGGAAGGGGTAAGAAGGTAGGAGGGAAGCGGGGGAGGGGGAGGGCGTGGAGGGACTCAGGAAGCGCGGAGCACAGGCCCAGGCCCGGCGGCTGCTCTCTGGGCGGGCAGCCCCTCCCCTCGGCGCCCGGGCTCCGTCCCCGTCCCCGTCCCGGGTCCCGGTCCCCGCCCCGCAGCCCATCCCCCCAGCAGCGACCGCGGCCTCCGCGTCAGGCCTGGGCAGGAGGCCCCCGCACCCACGGGGTCGCAGACCCTCTTGCGTCCCTGAGCGCGCCCCGGGTCGCGAGGCCCGGATTTCGAAGGTTACCCGAGCTCGGGTCCAGAAGGCCGGGGTCGCGATGGCCGCGGCTGTCGCCCCTCAGCGCCCCGCGCCGCAGCCCCTGTCGCGCGGCGTCAAGGTCTGGGCCCGGGATCCGGCGGGTCCCCATCCCGAGAACCGGGCACCAGTGGGCGCCGCGCCCTGCCCCGAGGGCCGGGACGCGCGGGGGCACTTCCGGCGCCCCCTGCCCTCCGCGTGACCCTCGCCGCGCCGCCCGCCTCGCGCCCCACCCGCGGCCGCCGCCCTGTCGTCATGGCGACGCCGTAGCTCGGCTCGGGGCGCGGCGGGCGGAACCCGCAGAGCAGCCGGGGAGCGGCGCGGGGAGCTCGCCGGCCCGTGCGCGGTGCGGCGCTGCGCGGCGGGGACGAGCTCCGGGCCCGGCGCCCGGCCAGGTAGGCGGCCCGGGCGGGTGGGTGCGAGCCGAGCCCCCGCGCGGAGCCGGGGAGGGGTCCAGGTGTGCTCGCAGCGGCCCCCCCCCCCCCCCGCCCCGCCCCGAGCAGCCGCGAGCCTTTCCCCAACCCCTCACCTGCCACCACACCTGCCCCTCGCCTCACCTACTCCTGAGCCCCACGGAGCAGGGCCAGAGGTGAGAGAGCAGGCCGTGCGCCCTGGGTCAGCCTCCGTGCCAGCCTGCGGAAGTTAGACTGGAACGCCAGGTGACCTCACGTTTATCCAGGGGCTCACGCCTGATATTTTGCCATATTCTAGAAACAAGGTAGGGTAGATGTGGATCAACCAACGTTTGCCACGACTGTTCTTTTGAAACCTGAAACCAAGACTGGCCGAATTGCTTTGCTGGTGGCGGGGCCTCCCTCAACCTGCCTTTCTGGTCTCTTGGTGAAACATATCTGGCCAGGAGAGCCTTTCCTTGTTCTGGAACATCCGCAGCTTCTTGGCGTGAGGGTAGGAGTCCCTCGTTTGGGAAACCCTGGCTCGTGGGCTTGGCCCTGGTGGGCCCTGAGCTGTTGGGCACAGGGGTTGCAGAACTGAGCCGAAGGAGGGGTCTGCTGCTGCCTTCGACGCCCGGGTAATGGCAGGGCCATCTCCCCTCTCTGCCTGCTCTTTCCCCCAGGGTGCCGCACAGAAAGGGATCCCCGTGGACCCTACCCCCAGTCTTTCTCCTTGAGGTTGCCCCTCTCCTCTCATACACCCTTACTTGGCAGTCTTTGAGGAATTTCTAAGTCTCATTAAATGTAGCTCCATCTCAGGACAGCTGGATTCTGTTCCTTTGTTTTCATAGCAAATGAAGAAATGCCAAAGCTTTGCCACCTTCTCTTAGATACCTTGATTTGTCTTGTGACATTGGATTTGAGAGAGAAAATACAGAAAGAAAACTTGTAAATGCCAAGGTGAGACCCACATAGAGAAAGGGTGCTGCAGACCCCCACCCCCACCCCACCCCGGCCACCGTGCCATGCAGGAGGAGCCTCCCAGACTGGGAGGTGGGACCATCCCCTGCCTGCCCCGCAGCTTCCCAGCCCTGGCCACCTTTCCTTGGCTGGCAGAGCTTGGCTTCTGCCAATATGGAGTGGTGCAGTAGCACCAGAAGGCATTGGTGGAGGAATCTGCCCCAGATCCAGGGGTTTCTGCCCGGCGGGGGACCGAGAGTGGACAGAAGAGGAGTGTGGGTTTATGGGAGGGGGTAGTGCTGTCTGCTGCCTTCTGGCTCTTTGTGGCCCCAAACCTCTTATGTCAACAACTTCTGATGTGTGACTCTTCCCAAGGTGCTATTAGGACCAGATTTAGTTCTTACTAGATTGTTAGCTGAATGCCTACCATGGGGCAGGCACTTTGCTAGGCACCAGTACATATTTATCCCGCTTAATTTTTGCTAGGCCAGTGAGTAGTAAGGTGGGACTCAATATCCCCTATCTTGTGGATGAGGAAGCAGGCTCAGAGAGGGGACCTGGCTTGACCAGGAGCACACAGTCATAAACAGTGGGGCTTGCTCTAAAATCACATCTGTTTGACCAGAGCTGCATTCATGGGTCCCAGGCACTTTTGCCTTGCTGGGACCCTTCTTCCATTACAAATAATAACAATAAAAAACAAAACAAACCTATATTTTACAACTGTGTTGGTATAAAGGCAAATATAACCCAGGCTGGATTAAAAATTAAAACATTTTCATCAACACTGAATTTGTTTTTCCTCCTGATTTTAGCAGAAATCATAAGAGTTTTTGTGGGTCCCTACAAGTATTGGGAGCCCTGGCGCCAAGCCCGCTGTATCCTAATGGAGAACCAGGCTCAGTGTCTGATGTCAAGCTTTGCTTTCTTCCCTCGGGCTTCTTGGGGCCCTGCCTGACAGCTCAACCTTCATTTTGCCTTTTCTTCCATCACATTCTAGGACATTCTAGGGCAATTGAGTTGTCCCTCCCGGCACTCACCCATCAAGAAAAGCTCGAACGTCCCTCCCCAATATAATCTTCTCTAACCCAATTTTAAAACCCCGCTGTGGACAAGGAGGGCCGTGGCCAGGCCAGGCTGCCTGCTTCCGGGCTCTAGGACAGGGGCAGTGTCTGGTCCCCATAATGAGATTAGGCCTGGTGGCCTTTTAATGAAACCGCGGACATGGGGAGGGAGAGTGATTCTCAGCACGTTCAAGCCCTGCGGGTAGCTCCTGTCCCTATTAGATTGCATTAAGTGGAGTCTGACTGCAAGTGTGTGGGGGGGGGGGCGGAGTGGGGGTGGTGTGTGACTGTCTCAGCCCAAAGTTCCAGAAGCTGCCAGAATTGTCACCCCCATCCTGCGCTCTGACAGGAAGGAGGGTGGCTGTGGAAGGGGCTGTAAGAGCCTCCTCTGCTTCTAAGACTCTGGTCTCCTAGGCGGAGGAGACCTTTGGGGTGGAGAATGGCTGCTTCCAGGCCCTTGATGCTGCTTCCCACACTTCTGCTCTGGGAACAAAGGAGGCCCAGGAACCACCAGCGTTCTGGGGGGCCAACCCGACTGGGAAGGCAGAGAGAGTGTTGTCACTGTCTGGATTGGGAACCGAAGGAGCATGATTCAAAGGCATCTGCTTACTAGGGAGTGACTCTCGACTGATTTCCAGGTTTGCACAAACAAAATGTGTTTGTGGGTGGGTCAGATTCCAACCAGAGTCAGTGAAATGTGTTCTCTCTCCAGCGTTGGAAGCAGGCCCTCCTTGCACAAAGATAGGTTGTCCTTGATGTTGAACCGGATAAGCCATTGTTGAAGGAATCTTTCAGTTCATGTTCTGTAAAGCACAGAACCACTCACTACTTTGTCTTTTTTGTGAATCTGGATTTTTCACCCTTGGAGCTTATTGATTGTGAGGTCACCTGGAGGCAAGGCACGGGCCTGCCTGAGTCAGGATGGTCTTGCTTGGTGTGAGTTTTCCTGCATCCCTCAGAGTTGGACTTAAATCACCTTCAAACTGGAAGGAGGAGTGGAGGAGACAGCTTGGGCCTTCATGGTTCCAAAGGTCATTCTTCATCTATGGCTTCCTCCTGGATGCTGCATCACCCAGATGCCTAGTTCCCCACACAGATGGGGCAGGGGAGCTGCCTTGGGAACAGTTGACGGGAAAATCTCATGGATCCGCTGGTTCGCCCTCCTGCCACCCCTTCTCTCTTAACTGCCTGTTTCCATCCTGCCTCCTTTTCTCCCAGGAGAGCCCACAGGGGACACCAGTGCTTGATGTAGTGATGTGCTTAAACTGCCTTAGCAGCCTGGTTTCCTGAGAGGTGAGGGACACAGGAGGACTGGCGTGGGGCAGGGAGAGACTTCTTGGTGCTCTGGTTCAAAGTGACTTCTTTGGTAAGCGGCATTCAGATCCTTGATTGCCTTCAGCTCCACCCTCCATGCTGGGCAGAGCCACGCCTTCACCCGGCAACCAACAGCTCGGGGCGTGCCACCTCACTGTATTAAAGCAGGCGGAAACTGTCTTCCGTGTGGATAGTGGCAAGTGCCCTTGGCGGCCTGAGTTGCACTTTCGGCTTGAATTCTTACTACCCTTTACTAAAAAAAAAAAAATCCACATCTGCTCTGCAACTTGTCTGCAAGCTTCTCGAAGGCAGGGATCACGTCTTAGCTGTATAGCTCCAGCATCTCGCAGTATCGCCAGCATACAGCAGGTGCTCAACGAACAAATGTGTTGAGCTATTTGCAGGTGATAGCTTGGGGCATGTCATGTATCCTCTTTGAGCCCCAATTTCCTCACCCATTGAATTGGGACAACAGTCTTATTATCCTAGCAGTATCCTGGAGGTTAAGTGAGAGAAGGCTGAGTACAGAGGAGGGGCTTGCAGTCAGCCGTGAGGCCCCCTGTCCTCCCAGCACACATAGGCAGGCCTCTCAGCTCCATTGTGGTGGGGCGCAAACAGCACTAGGGTTCTGACTTCCTGGGGAATTCAGGATGTGAATTTACAGTGCAGAACGTTCAAGCCCCCTGTTCAGTCGTTTGGCTGCTCCAAAGTGCGTTTCCTTTTCGGCACCACCAACTTCTTCAGTTCTCAGCGGACACCGACTGGGTGTCCTGCAAGTTAACTCCGTCCTAGCACCGTTTACCTGGAGATAGTGTCAAAACCCACAGGCTAAAGGCTCCGTCCTACAAGACTGTCCCTCACTTTGGATGCTAGTCGCAAATCCAGATTGGCCCCTGGGCTTCTCACCCACCTGCTGTGGATGAGAAGTTCCCATGGCCTTCTCCTCGGGTTCAATTAATTTGCTAGAGCAGCTCACAGAACTCAGTGAAACATTTTACTTACTAGATTTATTATAAAAGGATATGACTCAGGAACCGGCAGATGGAAGAGGAACGTTAGGGTGAGGTCCCGAAGGGTCCTGAACGCAGGAGCTCCTATCCCCAGGGAACTAGGGTAGCCATCCTACCAGAAGCTCCTTTTGGATTTTACTGGAGGCTTCATGACTGGGACAGGTTTGATCAGATCATTGGCCATTGGTGATGGAACTCAAATCTCCAGGCCCTCTCCCCTCCCTAGAGGTTGAGAGGTGGAACGGAGGGGGTCCAGCCGTCAATCACGTGGTTGGTTCCCCTGGCAACCAGCCCCCGCCCACAGGTTATCTAAGGGCTCATTAACAAAAGACAGCTTTCTGGCTTTCCTGGGAAATTCCAAGGGTTTTAGGAGCTCCATCCTATATACTTCTTTTTGTAAGTCACAACCTCACAGCTCTGCAGAGAACCTCGCTCTGATTTCTGCCTGTTTCAGTAGGAGACTGGCTGGCCTGGCCACAGAGTAGCTCCGAGATCCAGGAGTGACAATTCCTTTGCTGCCCTGAGCTCCCACTGCCGTCGTTGGTCATTCTGCTTGGCAGGAGGGAGCTGTGGCAGGTCCACCAGAAGCAGAGCACGTCCTTTCTGTTCTTTCTCATTCAGAGCTAATCAGGTTCTGACTGCGCCCCGGGCGTTCAGGGGATGAATCTAATAAAGGGGAGGAGGACCAAGAACAAGTGACCCAAGGACAGCATCTGTTTGGTAGATCTTTCCGGTTAGAGTCGGTGCAAGGGAACAGGTCCTCGAGGAGACCCAAGGAAGAGCGGGACGCCTCCCCTGCCTTGCCCGAGCTACAGGGCAGGTGAGCAGAGGGGCGCAGGCGAGCTTCACAGGAGGCAGACGGCCAACAGGATAAGGTAAGCCCCAAGCCAGGAGGGGCTGGAGATGAAGGAAAAGCCCGGTTCAGGTCGTGGGCAGACAGATGGAGGGGAGAGTGAGGGGAGGAGATGGAGGGGGTGCGAGTGGCGTGGCGGGGAGCAGGCAGTGAAGTGCGGGGAGTGTGAGGCAGAGGGTGGTGTGAGGAGAAGTCTCAGAAGTCAGTCTCCTCTGAGTGGATTTGGTGAGAAAACCCGGGGCCACAGATGAAAACTGAGTTAGGATCGCGTTACAGAGGTGGCATTTCACCAGCAGACCATGGGCCCTGTTTGTGCAGGGTGGGGCGACGGGAGATGGGGAGCTGGCCTTGTCCCTGTCCTTGGCAGAGGTTCAGAGATTGGGGCAGAAGCTCCATGCCCTGGCTGGGGTGGTGGCAATGAGGATGGCCAGGAGGGAGGTGATGGCGGGGGGGCCAAGGGAGATCCTCCAGGATTCGGTGGCCTGTCTCCACTGACCTCTCCACAGATGTCAGCGCCAGGACCAGGAGGGCAGCCACTTCGGCCACGTGCAAGGTCAGGAGAGGACTTGGCTATGACAGGCAGATGAGCTGATTTTGGATGTGCTGAGTTTGGAGTGTTTGTAGGATGTCGGTAGAGGTGGATAGTGGGTGGTTAGAAACGGGGTATTTGGGGGAGAGCATGGAACTGGCCCTCGATTTAGGAGTTACCTGTGCAAAGGGGACATATATGGACAGAGACAAGAGTTTCAGAAATAGGGGTTGTTGTCTGCCAGACCCTCTGGAAACAGGGGTTGCTATCTGTCGTGGGAATGTGTTTGGAAGATGACTTTATAAAATGTCAAAAACCTAAAAGAGAACATAGGCTTGCTGCAGGGTTCTGTTTCTCCAGTCAGGAATTAATCAGATACATGCGCAAAGATGATCACAGAGTGTGGTTTATTTAGTGAAAAACTGGGAGCTAGCTAAACGCTGAACAACAGGGGTTGGGGCTTGGTTAAAGCATGAAACAGCCTTACCGTGCAATCCTGTGACGTAGTTGAAACTATGGCGTAGATGGATATTCGTTGACATGAAAAGATAGGCATGACGTACTGTGAAGTTAAAACGGGTTAGAAATCGGTATGTTTCTATAAAATAATGTAAATGTTTCTAGAAAAAAGGGATGTGAGGACACACATGAAAATGCTGATTACTTGTAATTTTTTCCTAATCTGTATTTTACTGTAGGGAGTGTGTATTAGTAACACTCCCGACTGTCCCCCACTTTTAATGGTGAAGTTGCCAACATTTGTCAGATATGGCAGAGAGAAGTGGGGGGTAAAAAGAGCCCCCCCATTACTAGTAGAAGACCAGGCTGACCGGACACGAGTTCTTGCGCAGTACAGGGTAGAGACAGAGCACGTGCGGGCCGTGAGCGGGGGGACCCAGAAGCCTGTTAGGCCGCGCCTCTGCTCAGCTGTCATTCTCTGGGATGTTTCCAGCGCTGCGAGGAGAGGCCAGGACTGGGGAAGAGGCGAGCCCCCTTCTGTGGGCACAGGACGCCCCAGCACCAAGGCAAGGCGGGTGGAGGCCATCTTTGTTCCTGCCGGCGCTGCCTCTCCCTCCTGGCTGTCTGGGCCGGGCCTGGGCTCTGGGTCTGGAGGACCAGCCGATTCAGGGCGAAGAGCGGGCAAGAAAGCCGTTCTGACCCTGAGGGAGGCTACCATGGGGGCGGCCTGGGCGGAGGAGCCAGGAAATGCGCTCACCACACACACATGCACGCACGCACACGCACGCACGGGCACGCCCACGCACGCACGGGCACACGCCCACGCACGCACGCAGCCCCTGAGCAAGCCTTCGCAGACCTCCAACTGCCGTTTTCTTCTCGGTCGCACGGGTCCGTGGTAACTCCCTGCTTTACGGCCTCCACAGGCTCGCCGGGAGCTAAGTGTCCAGTATGAAGCACGCCATGAGCCCCGAACGGCGACGTGCTATTCCCTGTGGGTCTCATTTCTGGTGCCTTTAGTTTTGGAGACATCCCGTGAGCGGGAGTGCAGATCGGCCTGCCCTAAACGTGGGGGGCGGGGGGGGGGGGGGGGAGGCAGCAGGGGGGCAGGCTGCTGGGCTGCCCCTGCTCCCCACGTGTGTCGGGCGAGGCGGGGTCCGAGCACATCCTTCTACAAGCAGGGGCCTGCTGTGGGGTCCGCGCCCAGGCCCATGGGGAGGGCAGGACCCCCCCCTTCACCTCGGGCTGAAGGCTTGCACACTGCGTGCGGGGCGCGGGGGGGGGTCTCCTCACCAGATGTCCTTAGGACCTACCTGGGGACAAACCGTGAGAAAGCCTGTTTCTTCAAGGGATTTCCTCACTTCTCTGTACCTCATCTGTGAAGCCCCCCTGAGAAAACCCAGGCCCTCGTGAAACAATGTAAAGCCAGGCGCGGGGCCCCCCTGCTCCCACCAGAATTTGGAGGACCTTCCCTTGCACCCTCCTTGCATCTCTCCCAGGGGTCCGGCCTGTCTCTTGGGGAAGCAGGGCACCTCTGCCGACTGCTCTAGAGACTTAGGGTAGCTGGCTTTAGCACAGGGGCCGGGGGTGGTGGGCGGAGAGGGTGGGGGGTTGGGGTTGGCCTCGGGAGCCCAGGGCTGTGTCCTGGGGAGGTGCGGGCTGCTCTGAGCTCTCTGCCTTTCCTCCAGCAGCTGCCTCAGCATGGAGAGTCGGGCCGGCCTGGCAGCCGCCCCCAGAGCGCTGCCTTACTACGTGGCTTTCTCCCAGCTGCTGGGCCTGACTGTGGTGGCCACGACGGGGGCTTGGCTCGGTCTGTACAGGGGCGGCATCGCCTGGGAGGGCGCCCTGCAGTTTAACGCGCATCCCCTCTGCATGGTCATAGGCCTGATCTTCCTGCAGGGAGATGGTGAGTCCTGCCCTTGCACCTGGAGCCGCTCCTGAGAGAGGCGGTTTGCAGAAATACTCTCCTTCCGGAGGTCTCTTGCAGTTAGACATGTCTAAGATTCCAGAAAAGACAGGAAGGAAGCTGGCTTGGAGCCTGGGGACACCAGGCATCCAAATCTAAAGGGACCTGAGGTGTGGGGGTGGCAACTCCTTTCCTACTTGTCCTGGTCTTTCGACGAGGAGCATCCAAGGGTGTGTGCTGCTTAGAGCAGGCAGCCCAGGGTTTGGACTGTGAGCCAAGGCCGGCTTCTGTGGGGCGGTTTCATAGTGGGAGAAAGAGGGTGAGTGTGTGTGTGTGCGCGTGCGTGCACATGTGCCACGGGGGACGTTGGACTTGGCAGAGCTTAAGTCCCTCTCTGAGGTAGGAGTGAGGCCGTGCTTGGCTCCCACCCTGCTTTCCGTGGCTGCCTCCTCTGCTAACAAGAAGTCTGGATGTGGATCTGTTGGGCCCATTCTTCCTAGAGGTGGTCCTGGTGACAGCCACTCCTAAGAGGCATTCCCCGTGCCACCTGGCTCTGTCTGGCTCAGCCCAATGACGGGGGGTTAGCTTGGGAACCACGGGTTCCCCGTTTAGGGAGCCTGCTTGCTAAAGGTAGTGAATATCTGCTCAGGCTTCCATACTGGACTATGTGAGGATCATCACAGCTAAGAGGTGAACGCAAGCTTGGTGACACCTCAGCATGAGTGCACGATGAACCCGCAACACAGCCTGGAATACACAGGACACTTGACAAGAGAGCAATCGTGGGGGTGTTGCTAGGGCACACATAACCCGAGGGCCCCTGCCGGGCCCCACAGAACCTTGTTTTCTCTCCCGCTGGCTGTGGCTGTGGGACCTTGACAAGCCCTTCATTCAGATCACCTCCCCGAGCCACGGGGTGTCACCTTGGTGCGGGTGGCAGGCCGGCCTCACGTTCCCTTTCTTGCTCCCCATAAGCCCTGCTGGTTTACCGGGTCTTCAGGAATGAGGCCAGACGCACCACCAAAGTCCTGCACGGGCTGCTACACGTCTTTGCGTTCATCATCGCCCTGGTGGGTGAGTTCCCGGGCACAGCTCCCCCTTTCCCGCCTCTGCTTCGGCCCTTGGGGAAGTAGCTGTAGGATACGTCTGGTCCCCACTCCAGTTCTGCTCCGGGCCCCTCCCCACCCCTCCTCCCCCGTCCACGCATCACCGGCTGGGACACTGGGTGCTGGCAGCCATCAAGTCGGGACCGGATCCCAGAAGTCCCAGCGAGTCTGGTTTCCCCTGGGTCACCTCCCCGGCCCCCTTCCCGGCAGCCCTGTCCTCACGCGGCTCCCCCCCCCGCACCCCCCAGGCATGGTGGCGGTGTTCGACTACCACCGGGAGCAGGGTTACGCAGACCTGTACAGCCTACACAGCTGGTGCGGCGTCCTCGGGTTCGTTCTCTACTTCGTGCAGGTGAGGCGTTGGCCCCACGGCGCGGGGGGCGGCGGGGGGACACGGGTGTCCCACACGGGCGCCCCGCGAGGGCCCACTTTCCGGGGCACGTGCCTGAAAGTGGAGGAGGCTGGGGGCTGCTTTCAGACTCTGAAATGGGTGCAAAAGCCAGGACTTCCCAGGCCAAGGTGCCTCAGAGCCAGGCTCCCTTCCAGCTGACGCGGCACATCTGTTTGGCCACAGGCCCAGGTCTCCGAGCGCGCGAGCCCGCTGAACTGAGCCCAGGCCTGGGGCGCGGGGGCCAGGACCTTTCCCCTGAGGGCTTACTGCCCCCCCACCCCCCGCAGCTCTTAGGGTGAAGGAGGCCAGACGGGTGGATGGGGGGGTCCCAGACTGCGTGTGGACACGGCCCGCTTGGGGTGTCCTCGGGACGGTGGCACGGAGGGCCAGCTCAGCCTCCGGCCGCACCCCGCCTTTTCTCGCAGTGGCTCGTGGGCTTTAGCTTCTTCCTGTTCCCCGGAGCTGCGTTTTCGCTGCGGAGCCGATACCGCCCACAGCACATCTTCTTTGGCGCCGCCATCTTCCTTCTGTCTGTGGGCACGGCCCTGCTGGGCCTGAAGGAGGCGCTGTTGTTTAAGCTCGGGTGAGTGTCCCAGGCCACCATGGGCGGCAGAGAGCGAGCCCCGCCCTTGGCTCCTCAGGGCCCTCTGCCTTCCCGTTTTTGGTGGTTAGCGAAGCAGTGGTTTTCCTCTCCGGGAGGGAGACGGGTGGGGCTGGGGTGGGAACACCAGGCCATCTCTCTGGCCTGGGTGCGAATGGCATTTGACGGTGACCCCGTGGGTGGTTCTCCCCCCCCCCCCCCCGCAACCCTGCAGGGCCAAGTACAGCACATTTGAGGCTGAGGGTGTCCTGGCCAACGTGCTGGGCTTGCTGCTGGTCGGCTTCGGGGGGACTGTGCTCTACATCTTGACTCGCCCTGACTGGAAGCGGCCACCCCAGGCGGAAGAACAAGCTCTCTCCATGGACTTCAAGACGCTGACAGAGGGCGACAGCCCCAGCTCCCAGTGACGGCCTGCCCTTGTCCCACGGGGAGGGCCTGGCTGTGGCTGGCCTCCTCAGTTCTGGGGGGTTTGGATAGGCGTCTTTCCCACGCTCTGTCGAGGCTGTCTTTAGGCTCAGCGGCTCCTGGGAGGGCTGGGCAGTGTGGTTAGGGAGCGTGGGGGCAGTGTTCCCCTTGGAGCGCTCATTTCTGGGGTATAGGGCTTGGCTTTCTCTGCTTTCCCTCCTTGTTGCTGCTTTAGAGTCCTGTTAGTCATGCACAGACCCCTGCCCCTGTTGTCATCGTCACCCCCTCAAATCGAGCAGCTTTGGGTCGGGTTTTGGGTGGTCAGTCCTGGTTACAAAAGCACAGATCCTTCAAGAAGACGTAGAGTGGCTCTCTCCTCTTGAGGCAGCGGATGCTGGGCCGAGTCCAGGGGCTGCAAAGAGCACAAAGCTGTGGGAGAAACTGGGGCTTAGTGACAGGCCTGGCAAGGCCGAGACTTGCTTTGTGTAACACTGAATTCAAACCAGGAGTCTCGCTAGTCTGAACAACACGTGGTGAGAAGGGGGCCCGGCCTTGGCAGGGAGCAAGTGATATTATGTATGAACTATGTCAGTGTTCAGAGCAGGGTTCCCCAGGAGTGGGGAGGGACTGGCCCCGGGGAAGCTGCGGAGATAGGGCTTTGGGCCAGCCCCAGGCCGGCCCTGCTGGGAGAGGGACGGACCACGGGCCACGGGCCCGAGACTAATGGTACTTGGCGGCTGAGGGCCACAGAGAGAGCAGGAGATTGGGCCCTGTGGAGGCGCGCTGCGGCCGGGCGGGTCTACTCGCCAGTCGCCTCCGGGGTCCCCGCCCTCACCAGCTGCTCTGGCTAGGACCTGAGGCCGGGGGTGGGGGGTGGGGGAGGGAAGGGGGCTGTGGCCTTGCTTTGTTTTGAAGCGGAAAGCTGCTACCCCCCCCCCCCCCCCCCCCCCCCCCCCCCCCCCCCCCCCCCCCCCGGCTTCCAGCACCGAAGGCAGGGCTGCCGGCCTCTGTGCAGGAGGAAGGCCGAGGAAGGCCTCAGCCTCCTCCCCGGGCCGGCTGTGTGGGCAGCAGCTGGGGCCAAGGCTCCCGGCTGCGCACGTGTGCTCTGCGTGCCCCACTTGCTCTTGGGCTTCGGCCTGGAAGCGACCTGATCAGAGCATTGACCTTGTGCTTCTTGGACCTGGTGCATGCTCTCTCCTTGTTTACCTCGTGTTCTGGGCTTTGAGGAACATGACACAGTTTGAGACAGACACCGTTTCCTTAAATGAAGAAATGCAGGGGATTTCCAGGCCTGACCACTGTTCTTTTGACAGTTGCCTTTTCCACACAGTGCTGCCTTAGAGAAAGGGGCCGGCCCCCTCTCGTGCTCTGCTCCTGCTCGGGTTTCTAACACGCGCCTTGGGCCTTGGGCCCTTGGCACAGTGGCGGCCCAGTCCTCCCCCCCCCCCCCAGGCGCCCCTCTCTCGCTGCAGCTTGCCTGGGGCGGCCGGGTGTCCGCTGGTGACACTGCGCTGTGTGTCTAGCGCCCCAGCCGTTCTTCCACCTCCCAAGGTACAATTGTGCATCTCCCTGGCCAGGACGCCACAGAGAGGGACGGAATCTTGGATTGGCGGTAAAACTCTGTAAACCGGTCTGTTTGCCCAAGTGGCTGTCGGATGATTCTGGAGGCCCCTGAAAACTGCCCCGCGGTGGTTTATTTTACTTTGCCTGTGGCCAGTCCTCTGTGAAGTACATTGTAGCGTGGGTGCAATAGATGGTTCAATAAATGTCTACCGCAGACCTCGGGCCTGTTAGCCTCACTTGCTGTGGCGACAAAAGGGGCCGCTGCTCCCAGCAGAGTCAGACACTCAGGTCGGTTCTGGGCTCGCACCCCTGGCTGGGCGCAGGGGGGGCAAAGTGAGGGGTGCTGTCGCGCCACAGGCTGGGCGAGGGGCCGCTGCTCCCAGCAGAGTCAGACACTCAGGTCGGTTCTGGGCTCGCACCCCTGGCTGGGCGCAGGGGGGGCAAAGTGAGGGGTGCTGTCGCGCCACAGGCTGGGCGAGGGCCCGCGGGCTGTTCAGGCTCTGCACCCAGTGGGGGAGACCGCCTTCTCTCAGCCCAGAGAGTGGCCTGGAGGGTGGAGGCCAATAAGGGCCTTGGCCAGAAGTTCTCCCCAGTAGTCACTTAAGTTTTTACCTTTTAAAAATATGTCTCTTTAGTCCTTAAGAGGAGGAGTAAAGCTTTTGAGAACAAGCAGAGATTCCACTTGAGAGCCATTCCCAAGGCTCAGGCAGGAGGTGTTATTTATGGTGAAGTCGGGTGGGCTCTCATACGGGGACAGGGACCAGGGACTCTCTCTCTGCTCCAGAAAAGCACCTTCCCTGAAAACACTATTTAAAGGGACCCTACAGCGAATCCTCCGATACCTAATCCTCGGTAACACGAATCCTTCCTGACATTTACTTTTTCTCCATATTCTTGAGAGGCCTTTGCTTTCTGCATCTGTACAGTCTTTCTCCTGAATCGAGGCTTCTGTGTGAACCTCCATTTGCTTAAAAGCATGCAAAGCACGCGGCTTGAGAATAGGTCACGAGCCGATGGCTCCGTCAAGATCGCGGCTGGCTCTCAGTGTGAGGGCAGAAGGCCCTGGACCCCAACTTCTGTGCTCGCCTCTGCATCAAGGGTCTCCGTGTTTGAAATATTGAAATGATCCCAGACACGAAGGGGATGCCTCTCCTCTCCTTCACCTGCTCAGGATGTCCCTCACCTGACTGGGTTTGGGACTCCTTGAGGTCTCAAAAGTTTTCAGACCAAGCAGGTGGTTCCTTCCAGAGTCCTGTCCTCTCCTCTTTGAAGGGAACTCTGGCGTCCAGGCTGGGATGCCTGCGTGCCTGCAGTTTTCCTGCGTCCCCGGCCTTGGCTGTTGGGGGGGAAATGGATGTAGTCACACAACAGGGATGTTTGTTCAGCACAGCGTGGCGTCCAGAGGAAGCAGTCTCCTTCCTTGCTTGTCCCTGCCGTAGACAGGGACCAGCGAGGCAGGAAAGGCTGCAGGACTCCGTGCGGGCCACTTTTTAAAAACAAGGTATTGAGGGGCGCCTGGGTGGCTCAGATGGTTAAGCGTCTGCCTTCAGCTCGGGTCATGATCCCAGGGTCCTGGGATCGAGCCCCACATCAGGCTCCCTGCTCAGCGGGGGGGCCTGCTTCTCCCCCTCCCTACGTTCTATCTCTGTGTCTCCAATGAATAAATAAAAAAATCTTTAAAAAAATAAAAAGGTATCGAGTGTCTAGCTGGTTCCAGGAAACCTGCAGCTTCTCCACTTGCACCACGCAGCTGCCCAGCTCCCTGGATGGCAAGCATGGGAGATTCTGGCCAGATTTCTGAAGAGAAAAGAAGCCACTGAAAACTGTGGGCTTCCAGCTCGGACCAAGCTCACTTCGGGAACGCCAGCCAGGGCCGTCCCCTCCCCTCGGGCCTGCAGCCCCAGCTACCAAAGTGAAACAAGAAGGGCTCATGCTCCCTTGGTTTGGCGGGAGAGAAACTCACTGAGGAAACAGCCTCCCTCCCTCAGAGGGTCCTGCAAGCCTTCGCCACAGCTATGCGCTGCCCCAACTCCAAGGAGGCGCTCGGTCACCTCACTGAATGAACACAAGCCCCAAGGGGTGACTGTGCATGTCCCACAAGAGACCAGATAAATCACCAGGAATTTGGCCTCCACCTTAACCTGCTGAAGCGGTTCCTGGGGGAGGCCTCAGTGAGGTCCCCCCCCCAGCACGGCAGGGGCCTCGGGGAGGGCGCAGTACGGGAAGGAGAAAGCACCACCACACCGCGTTTTTCCAAGTGTTACCCTTTATAAATAAGTACATTTGCTTTCATACATAGAGTTCATTGTACGGATGGCGCTCTGTACACATGGGCAGGAAAATGCATTCATTTAACTTTTCACATCTATCTCACACAGCTCACATGTACAGACAATACAACTGCTCAAGCAAGTACAGCAAAGGAAAAGGTCTTTCCTTATACACAGGGGACTAGATGCCTCTGTCGGGTGTGGGCCATCCCCACTGCACGAGTTCACAACTGTGTGGTGTTCAATATATCGGGAGAGAGAACAAACATGCATTGGATAATATACTGTACAGAGAAAGTCCTTTACATCTGAGTCATAGAAAACCTAAAGGAAAACTAAGTGCATTAAAGCTTTTTCCAGCAAGTGTCTTGAAAGGACAGCAAAGAGGAGGAATCAAAATCATATTAGTACAAATCACTCTTTAATTGTAGACTGTACATGTCTGTACTAATTAAAATCATCTTGGATTTGGAGGAGACAGAACAGAGATGGAGATGCTGTGCTAAATGGAGAGGAGACCATGCCTGAGGACGGCACCTGCCCTGAGCCTGATGAGGAACTGGCCCCACTCAGCAGGAATCAGCCAAAGGAGAAAACAAAAACAAAAAGAAACTGGAACAGGAAGTGTAACTTACAGGATTTCCAAAATAACCTGTGAATGAAGGAGAGATCTGGAGCCGGCATTTCTAACTTTTTTTTTTTTTTTCCCAGTAAGCTGGTACACAATAAGGCAGGTACATTCAAGTACTGAATTTCCAGAATTAATGGTCTGTCTGGTCCCAGGGACCGGAGGGATTGAGTGGAGTCCCCCTAACCAGGTGTTCTGGTTAGTGATTAGGCAAAAGAAAAATCCAGCCAGTAAGTGCTACAAAAACAAAGCAGCTAGACTCCTTCCTTTCCAAAGAGTAGGTCTGTCTGAAAAACGAGAGTGATGCTGGCCTGCGTCTACATGCGTTCAGCTAAAACCTGGCAGGTCAGCTTCGTGGAGATTACCAGAGTCAGCAGGAAGATGTGAGATGATATGGGTGAGGAAACATGAAAGTAACACTTGATTTTTGGTGTCCAATTACGCATTCATTTGGTACTGACTTTTCAAAGCTCTGACCGTGGCCATCGCGTGGCCACAAGCATCTCAGGGCGGTTCAGCAGCTGTGAGGCATTGGACACCGAAATGCAGGTTACCAACACTTCAGCCCTTCAGTGGTCTGTGTTATAAACGGAGTTGATGAAGACCCAGTGATTATTCAAGTAGCTCTGCACAGTGGCTCTACCGTTCCCATTGTGCTTGTGTCCAGGCCCCCAGCCAGCCACCTTTTCTGGGGAGCAGCCACAGCTGAGTTCAAGGCATTGCATGGTGAAGGTTTCCATGACACGTCTTTGTAGGTAGCTCTTACCCCTAAGCCCTTTGTTCATTGTTAGTCGTGGTAGATGGTCAGTCTGGAATTCCTAGAGGAAAAGGAGAAAAAGCCACACCTCCCAATGTGCACGCGACGGGGCCGCATGGGCCTCGGTGTGGAAGCAGCAGCAGGCTGCCTTTGCAGGTTGGCTTCTTGAGAAGTGGGCAGCCCAAGGACAGACAGACAGGGGTGGGAGAGGCTGGGACAGGGAGGGAGGGAACATCCTGTCCCCCCCACCCCCCGGGGAGGGGGAGCCTGTTCCATTTGGTGGCAAAGATTCAGTGAGCAACTGGTTTTGTCCAAGGCATTTCTACAGTAGAAAAATAATGAATTTTGAATCAAACCAGCCAACCGTGACATCTCTGAAGTTATAAAAGTTGGAAGCCAAGAGGAACTGAGAGGGATGCTCATGGGGAGTAAAGGAGGCTTCCTCATACCCACCCATCCACCAGAGCAAGGGAATTCTACTCAGTTCTCCCAGCCTCTGCCTGGCTGAAGGTCCAAAGCAGGTAGTGTTCAAAGAGCTTATCGTGCCACAGCGGGCACAGATACATGAAGACCCCTCCGCAGGCCTCTGTCCCCTCCTTCCTGAACCCTCTGGGCCTGCCTGCTGACCTGGGAGCAGCTCCTCCAGGGGGCCGGGCTGCCGTTCTTTGCCACCAGACAAGCCTGGTGCAGAGCCACAGTGACACCTAGTGGTAGAGTATGGTTGAAGCAAGGTGACGTCCACATAACCCACCCTATAGGACTAAAATCTAACGAAAATACTTATGGATATTAAATTAGATACTGGTTAATTTTTCTATTGGGTACATCTCTGGAATATAAAAATACCAATATTTAGAGAGGGGTTCATAAACTACTATACAATATAAGGACCAAGAATACCTTTCTCTAGGCTGTTCTGTTTACAATAATTTAGGAAAAGTGTTTAATAATCCAGGCTTAACTAAATTAGCAAACTTGTATCTCTGGACAACGACCTGGGGTACTGTACATGATTCTAATTAGTGGAATTTTCCTGAGCCTTCGAGTTTAAGTTAAACACATCTAGAAAGAGGGGCACATGGGAGAGGAACAAGAAGGGTTTGTGCTCTATTAACTTGGGGCTTTAATAGTGCACGTCTGCAACCCGGACGAGATACAACAGCAGATACAAAATGGTCTCCATTTTGTCCATGCCAAATTCTCATGTTACACAGGTTTTCCCTTTACTTTGTAAATAAACATTAATTTTTAATTGTTAATTGTGTGCCTTACTGATCCAGTAAATAAAGTAACCATGTCTCAGGAGTCCCTAAGAAAATTGCTGGAAAAGCACTTTAAAATCACTGCAAATATTTTTTGTATTTAAAAATTCTTAATCTTTTTGATGCTTATATACAACAGTTATTTCTTGTGCTATAAATGTTGTGATCCACTGCTTGATTTCTTTCCTTTTTTTCCTTGAAAGATACACTAAAAGACAAGAGCGGTTTTGCTATTTTCTAATGAAGACATTACGCACACTTAAATATCCAGTATTTATCAGAGTTACAAATTCAAACAGTAAAGTGCACCCATTTATAGACATAATGTGATGGGAACCCATTAGTGCAAGAATTCTGGGTGAACGAAACGTACAATTTGGTGAGAAACCTAGAGGCTGAGGTTTGTTACCACTGTCTCCATTTCAGGGTGATGTGAACTGGGTGAGTGGAACTTACCAGGTTCATTTGAAAAACTTCCCCCACCGGAAGCCAGACATCGATTCAGCAAGTGTTGCCGGGGGAGAGGGCATCTCGGAGATGCGGTAAGACGAGCCCATGGCAGTGAAGTAGCGCAACAGGGCACGGGCAGTCTGCCTACAAGGAAAAACGGTCTCCCGCCCCCAGGAAGGTCCAGTTGGCATTTTCTAGTCACACTCAACTGGCGCCCAGTAGTGATATTCACTCCCTCTTACAATGGCTAACAAAGAGTTGCATTTTGACTGTTTTAAGTGTTTTGCCCAATAAGGCATAGACCCTAAATCTCCGGTTTGTCCAGGAAAACCGTGAGACCCTGGGGACAAGCGACATCCGGGGCGAGTCTGTGAAACGCAGAACCCGCTCGCTCCCCGAGAAAGCAGAGTACAGGTCGCATGTGTGGCGTTCCAAATAAGCAGGGGCACTTTTCTGACAGATGCAGATGTTCTTCAAGAATGTAGCAGCAGCTCCTCAGTGAGGTGCTCAGGAAGGGAGGAGAAGCAAAGGGCCCCATGGGGCTGAGACCTGGACAAAGAAGGAGCCGGGCTCCTGGCTGTGGGCTGGTGCTACAGCTGGACATTTCATCTTCTCGGTAAGAGAGAGGGAGAAGGGAAGGGACAAGATGCCGGTGCCCACCTTGGGCTAGCTGAGTAGGACACAGGCCCTAGGCATCAGAGAGAGTGGGAAGAGTCTGGGTCTTGAGCTGGCCCAGCTGTCTGCTTCTAACACAGAGAGACAAGTCCTGGCCTCTTTCAAGCTTGGGGGCAGAGGGATCTGTCTACTTGGGAGACTCTAAATTAGTAGAGAAATGTTTCTGATCTCAGCTTCATGCTCCCTATGTCTTAGTGATACTTTCAGAGGACACTTACTATTACAAACAGGTCTGGTCACATCTGGATTTTTAGGGCAGGAAACTGCCCTTCCAATAGCCCTTTACTAACAAGAGCAGAATGATTCCTAATAACAGAGAACGGATTCTCTTTTGCTCAGTTTCTTAAGTTTTCGGAACTGACGTGCAGTCAGTACCAGGCCTGTGCTAAGGCTTTGGTTTCAGTGTTCTTACTGTCCATCTCGTGCTGGTCTCAGTCACGCAAAGGACAGGTCAGCAAACGACCACAAGACACGAAAGGGTGCAGGCTAACCAGATCAGAAGACCTGCTGTCTGTCTCACGTGCTCCCACCCAGGGCTGAAAGGGGTCTGTCTTCTCCATGAAACACTTTGCAGTGTCTGGTTTTCAAAGATCGCTCCCCAAACACTCCTACCTCGAAAAAAGAAAAGAAGAAACAATTCCTAGAGTAATAGATTACAGAACTATGTATCTCTAAAGAGAATCAGATGACGTCTGGCACAGGGTACAATGGCCCTGGGTGCAAACTTCAGGTATAAAGTCTTATGGTCCGGAGAGAATTCAATTTGCTTCTCAGAGAACCAGTTTCTTCACTATACCACATAGGTTGAAGAAAGGAGGGCCGGGAGGACACAAACCTGGCTCTGGGTGCAGACCCAGCTAACAGGGCTAGTGTACCAGTCAAACCTCGGCAAGAGTTTGCTTTTGTGGAATATGATGCTCAGTGATTATCTCAGGACCTATAAAGCAGATTTCTCCAAGACAAGGATGTTCTCTAGCCTTTCACTGAGAATCCAGAACAGTCTTTCTTCCTCTGTCTCTCTTTCTTTATATTTATGTATTTCCCCCCGCCACCACCCATGGAAAACGAGTAGATTTTTAATAGTTAATTGTTGGCTAAAAACCTAAAGAATACCTCTCAGTGGATTATTTAAGAATATCCATGATTCTCATCCAATTTCCTTGGCTGAGTGAAATATTTAAAGGGCTGGTTGTTCTCTAAATATTCATAAAACACTTCTTGGAAAATCAATGTAGTGACATTTCAAATAATTATGTATATATATTTTTTCTTCCAATTTAATAGACCCATTTCTTCTCTTTTTCCTTGATCCTTTTGCCCCCATAGGAAGACCAGCAATAACCTAAACGAACGTTCTAGACCTGATGACTGCAGGGAGCTGGCAGTCCAGGCGAGGAGACCATGGCACAAGAATGCACTGGGGCTGGCTATTTGGATAACACTGGATAAGAATGCAAAGGCAAAGGGGCATCATACTCTTTCTAAAGTTCCTAGAAGAAAACAAACGAGAACACCTTATTTTTGTAAAAAAGGAGAAAGACATTCACACAACAAGAACATCAGTGAAAGCGATTGTCTCCTGGAAAAAGCTGACCAGTGTGTCTGATCTCCCTGGGTTAAAGCACACGGCACAACAATCTCCTCGTTGGCGTCGGAAGAGAGGGAGAGAGCATGTGGCTGGGGCACAGACGGGAGAAACTGAAGTCCTGGCTCGCTGGAGGCCAGCTTCCCGGTCGGCTGCATGCAAAGAACTCCAGCATGTGGGCTGCCACCTCTGAACACCACACAGAAACTACATGAGAAATTAAGCCAGGGAACTACCTCAAATATGGAAACCAAGCCTGAAAATGTGCAGTGAAAACATATGGGTCTCACTCCAACAAACGTCTTTTAAACATTAGACTCCACAAATGGTCTCTTTGGTTTGATAGGGGATGTCTGCCCTTGTCGAGAGTCCCGGGACAACTGCCTATACAGGTTGTCCTGGTATGCCTGAGCCACAGGGAGGGTCCGAGCCACCTTCACATCGGGGTATGAGGAGGCCTGGCCGACTCTCTCCAAGAGGTCTCCACGGGACCCGTTAGCCAGCATCCCATGGGGGCTGTAATAATCGTCCTCCAGCAAATGGCCATTCTGTGCATTGTTGGTTTTGTTATAAAAGGCAATGTTGCTGATGGATGATGGTGGACTGAAGGACTCAGGCTGAGGCAGGTTGCCTGGAGACGTGGGACTGAGAACGGTATCCACGGATGACACGGCCCAGGTCCGATTCTGCTGGTGAAGGTGGGGGTACTGTTGAGTCCGGGCTGTTTTATCTATGATCCCCATGAATGGTGTGGTCCTGGATCGGGTGGGCTCGCTGGGGTAACCTCCCTGAGTGGGAGACACTGGTGACAGCTCGTCACATGACCTATCATACGCCGGTTTTAGTGGGATCTCCATTTGCTGAATCGAGGAAGATGGCCGGAAGGTAGGAGTGAGGTTGGAGGCTGATGAGATACTATTGCTAGATGGAGAGAAGCGGAGGCCTACGCTCTGGGAGTGTAGCAGTGGCCTGGGAGTTGGTGGATGGGGTTTGATTTCGTTCGGGTTGACACTAATAGGTCTTCTGATTAAATGTGACACATCAGGGGAACCTAGCTGGCTGGAGGAACGCTCCAGATCTAGTTTTGAGTGACAGACTGGGTAATAGGATGCAGACTGGCTACGTCCAATCTGTGGTGTCTGGCTGTATCTCATACCACCTCGATATGCTGAGGAAGGTCGCTGTGGAAGGTCTTCTTTGGTCAACCCTCCATGCTGACAGATGGCACCCGCACTCAGGCTAGCCTGGACATGCTGCACAGGTCTCCCATCCCCTACGATCCCCCCAATTGACCCTTGATAAACCAACCGGCTCTGACTTACTCCCATGTCTCCTTGTGAAGACTGGTATTTACTAGCCATCGAGTGGGATACTTGGCCATAGGCCCCTGTAGAGATGACGGTGCTTGAATGAACTGCTGAGCTGGGCTGGTTGCTTCTCACAATCTGGGCCTTGGCAGGCTGTAGCCTGAGCCCCTGCTGGGGAACTGCCACAGGAAGCTGAGGCATCTGGTAGGGCCGCTGGGCCATTTTGGATAATGGAGATTTTGGTCTGCCAGGAAGCTGACTCACATTGGTTTCTTGCTGATAGCGCACGGGTGAGCCAGACTGGGATCTATAGACACTCATGCTTTCGGCTGGAGGGCTGGCCCGATACTGAGGGCCTCTTCGGAGAGGGGAAGGGGGAGGGCTTGGGTATTCCTTGCCCTGTCCTCCCACGGGCGGGGGGCTAAAGCGGTAAGACCCGCTCTGGTGGGCTGGGGAAGTGTGTGGCGGACTAGGCCTGTAATGAGAGTTCTGGTGAGTTGGAGAAAGAGCGGGTGAGGTGGACTGATAGCCCTGTCTGGTGGGAGAACCTACGGAACTACTGGAACGGAAGTCAAAAACCTGATGTGAGCCAAGTGGTGAGCTAGAGATGTAGGCGGAGTCCCGATGGGCTGGAGAGGCGGGCGGGCTCTGGATTATCGGGAGCCCCTGACTGGGCCGAGCCTCGGTCTGGAGGCCGATGGAGACGTTTTCAACATCCTGTTCCAGGTACTCCTCCTCGAATATATCCTGTACAGAGTATATATCTTCGTGCTGTGGTTCGGGTTCCGTTTCTTCCGGGAGCGGAGGCTGAGGCGGCTGCTGAGGCGGCGGCTGCACCTGGCGGCACTCCTCCTCCACTCGCAGCAGGAGTCTCTGGATCTCACGGTTGTTTGGGCAGAGCTTGATGGCCTCGTTCAGATCCTCTAAGGCTGCTGCAAACTGTCTGCTTGACAAAATGTAAACACAGGAACTGGAGTGATTCTGAATCAACAGGAATCACCAAGAGCTGAGAACGCGGTCGCTACTGCAGAGAACTGGGGGGTAGCATCTGGGGGGGGGCGGGGTTGGTTTCGTTGGGTTTGTAAGGGAGGAAACAGGTAGGCTGTCATTCTGGAAGAGTCCAGAATGCTTCCTTAGCCTGTTTAGCCTCCATCTTCCTTCTGGCCTCTCTGGGATTAGCAGAGAAGTGGCCCCACTTTGTCAGTCCAGCCAGGCCCTTCAGGAAGATTCTCTTAGTGCCCAAATGCACACCAGGCAGTAGGAGAGTTGGGTGGGGTTGTCATTTACAGGGTCACTGTCAATTAGCTTAGGAACAAAACAGTAACTACAATATTTAAAAATCTTGCTGATCCATCATAATTTTTTCTTTATATTCTTAATATTTTGGCTCCAAATTTCAGGCCTGTTCCGTCCCAGGCAAGAAGCCCGTCTTCTGCCCTTTGTTCCCCACTCTCGCCCCACAGCACTGTCGCTCCTCCGTTCAGCTACATCAGAGCTGGGCAGGGATTAGGCTCGCTGACTAGGCCACTCAGATTCTAATTTACAGATGAGGACACGAACTCTCAGAGACAGTCCAATCCTCTCTATTAATAATCGCCCAGGAAAGGGGCAACTGGCCTTGTGGGGAAGGAATTCTCTGGGGAAAAAGAGAATTTGACAGTCAAGCTTCTGTAAGGACTTTGTACTCCCAGCTAGTTAAGACTAATGTTATCGCCACTGTCATCACTAGACTTAACCTGGGCTTGGTTTTTCAGGACCATATCTTCCCCTGGCCTCAACAGTGAATGTGAAGCAGGTCTTTCCCAGGGAAGAGTTTGGGAGAAGGATGGGGCACCGGGCAGGAGGTATCAAGGACAGTGACAAGTTATCCAAAGATCAGTGATGGCAGGTTCTAGGTCTTTCTGGAGCCTTTCCTGCCCAATTTGGCCAAGCCACAGCAGATGGACACGAGGGATGGAGTTTCTGAGTTTCTCTCGGGCCTCCTCAATCCCGGCAGCAAGGACCTCCTGTCTCCATGAGGGTGTGGTGTGGCGGTGGTGGTGACTTGGGTGAGGAGGAGGTCTGACGCTACCAGACTTGAGGAGAGCTCCAGAAGCTAAATAATCCAGGGACCCCTCAAACGCCTACAGGAAAAGAGGAGCCTGTGGTGTAAGTGACCCGTCCTACTTTTCCGTCTAAAAGGGCCAGGAGGATGTTTTGCTTAAGTGACCTCTTCTTAAGTCACCAGTGTCTCTTTATGCTGTCTGTTCTAGGGGTCAAAAAGTGAGTGAGAGATGGCAGAGGCTTCTTGGAAGAAGTGCCATTCTCCAACAATGCGAAGGCATTCTCCTCCCAAAGTAAAATGTTCTAGATCTCCATAGCCCTGAAGATTTGTCAGTCTCAAGTGGAGTTCTGTGCTATGGGAGCCATCCCCAAAGCGTGTCCCTCAAAGTCCTCAGGGATAGACACATTTGGGTACATATGCCCCAGGATGGCCTACATTGCCTTGGCCAGATTTTCGGAAAAGAGACCTCTTGCTCGTCACCCTCTCTCTCTCTCCTCACCTGCTGCTGCGTTTTGCCCTTGCTCTTGCATAGTAAGCTTCATAAGATTTCGGTTTCAGCTCCAGGGCCTTAGTAGCAAATTCCTCCGCCATTCCAAAATCCTGTCATTACAATAGGTGTGCAAATGAGTCATTGAAGAGATATGAAAAATAGACAATTTGGGAATAAAACAGATTATACGTACATTTCTTTGACATTTATGGATGGAACACCTGGGATTCTCGACATGCCTGGCATGGCTCTAGCCATGTGGCCCAGACTGTAAGTTCCTTCTGCCTTTGCCCTGTGTGGCCCTGCAACAGGTCCTGGGAATTTATCTGCCCAGAAGCATTAAAATACTTTTAATGTGCCTTCCTTCTGCTTTTCTAACGAAGCTCCTTCCAGCCCAGAAGCCAAATGTGAACCCAATGCAGCTCCTGAAGTTGGAAACCTGACCCCTTGATACACATGCGTGTAGGAAGGCAAACACAGCCATGTGTCTCTCACGGGGCCTCAACCTACCCCCCAGCTTCCTTTCGCACCCACTATTCCTCTGCTTCCTAAGGGGTGAGTGAGGTCCAGCAGGATGAGGTCTGTGGGAAGGAGAGCTGCACTGACCACGGAGACTAGATGGGGTCGGGGCGCCAGATGGACTTGGGTTCAGTCCTCTGGTCGGCCACATAGCCCCTCAGAGGGGGTAGTGTGTTTTCTCATCCATACCTACTTCGCAGGTGGGATGAAGTATGATGACGCATTTGAAAGCCCCAAACACCATTTCTAGCACATAGCAGATGCTTAGTAAATGGCCTTTTCCTTCTCTTAACTGGCTCCTTACTTAGGAAGCATTTAAAACAACAACAAAAATATAGTAAGAGAGGGCCCTGGCTGTGACTGGCGTTCATGTGGTCACCTCATCTCTTGCTCACTGAGGCTCCCTGGAGGAGTGTGGTCTCATCTGTCCTCATCTGAGAACCCTGGGAACAGGGGCCTGGGGAACAAAGCCATGGTTTTAAAGATACCCCTCCATACTGAGCTAAAAGGAGAGTTCTTTCTCTTCTTTCATTCAATGTCAAAGCCTCAGGACAGCACAGTAACCTCTGGTGATGCGCGTGATTTCAGAGGCAGAACAAAGGCCTGGGGCACAGGAAAAATCAACGAGGAAAAATAACGAGCCCTCTAAGACTGAAGAAGGCAGACCTCAGCTGCTTCGTACAGTGCTGGTCACGGGAGCTGCCTGCTAACTGTTCTGAGCAAGTGTGGAGCTAGAGAGGGAGCATTCCATCTCACGGGAGTCACCATCTATCACTACTCTGTTTCCAATCTTATCTTTTAATGTTTTTCTTTTTCTTTTGGACAATCATCATTTCTGGCAAGATGAGAATGCTTTTAAGAAGTAGATTATTTGTTTAAGCAAAAGAGAAGGCAATGGGCTGGCACTGGCTCCGGAGTGTTGTCTCATTCTCAATGGCTGGTGCCCTGGGGGACCCTGGGTACCGCGGGTCTGGTTCTGTTCCACAGAAGAGCCTCGCTGCCTTCCCCTGGGGCATCCCTTTCCCACAGGAACCGCTACCCTGGCCACACTCTCCTCAGCACCATGGGGCCACGCTGCCTCTTCGGGCCATAACTGTGTTCTCTGGGACATCCAGGCTCTTCTCACTGCCAGGGTTTAGATGGAGGATGCGAAGGTCGTACACACAACCTCTCTGGACTTGACAGTGGACCTCTTGCCCCTGCAGCTGAAATCTCACTTCCGCACAGCTGAGCTCTCTACTCATTGGCATTCTTTTTTGGGGTGGATTGTTTTTAGCTCCTGAGGAACTGTGAGACCTCAGGCAGGGGGTTATCGGAGGTTCCTGACACGATCTCAGCTATTCCCAGGCTCGGAGAAAGGATTCTTGGCCTGGGAGCATCTGTGTGTCACGTGAGCAGTGGCTGAGGGCACCCGACACTGTTTCTGTACGGCCGGCAAGAAGGACCAAGGACTACACGGCGGGTAACAGACAGCCAGGAAGAGTTCTAAGATTCCCTCTGGGACAAGAAGGGACATGGCATGCTGGAGTAAAAAGATGAGGAAAGGAGCAAAAAGTTCAAGATTAGCCTTTGAAATAAACCTTGAAGTCCATGGTCCTGAGTCCTCTCTCCAGCCCTTCCTTAAGTGACTAGGGGTCTACTAGAAAGGAAGGGAGTGACTACAATTCATATCTAATTGCAGCTAGAATTCTAGCGACCACCTGCTCTCACATTTTCCCAAAGACCAGAAAACTGACTTGGGGGTAGGAGACGATGATGATGGTATTCCAATCACTTTCAGTGTGAACTAAAAATTCAGAAAGCACCAAAAGTGCCCACAGCATTAACTTTTTCACAGTTTAATATACGGATTGTGCTTAGACTTGATTTCTTTCAAATTGCAAATGTCAGTGCTCTGTGAAGGACAACCAAGTTCCAAATGGGGCCGAGAACGATTTTAGGGGCCTGGTAAGAGCCAGTGAGTGACATGGGCTGTCAGCTTCCAGGGCCGTAGAAAGCAGCTGGGAGGAGAGGGACTTACGTTCATTTTCCTGCGACATCGAGAGAGGTTGAGGAGGAGAGACACCTTTAGTTCCCGGAAGGTTTTCAAGTCCTCACCAAACCCTTCTCGAGGGAATTTCTTCAGGGCGTACTGGTAACGCTGGGCAGCCTCCTTCACTTTACCTTTCTAATGGGAGTACAAGATGGCAAAACACACAGTTGGTCTGCTGAGCAGCTGAGGAGGTCTGGCCCCGCTCCCTTCCTCCTCTCTGCAGTGATTATTAAGTTAGCCCTCCCAAACTCCAGCCTGGGGAGGAGGGCTGGCCCCGCTTGTGAGAGCAGAGGGTCCAGTCTTTTCAACAGGAAACTCACCTGGCAGGAAGGGCAAGGTTGAAGGGGATACCCAAGGCACAAGCCAGAGAACCAATACCAGTAACCCCCAGCTTCCCGACCAGATTCCCAAGAGACTGATCTTGCTCATTTCAAAGGAGCTTTCTCTTGACCTGATCTCCTTGGGACACATATCATTTCCTAGTCCCAACCACTCCAGAGTTACTACTACTTCTTTACTTTTGGCTTGCCTGGAAAACTCTTCCATTTGATCCTCCTCCTTGCCAGTCCTCTAGAAGAGGTCATTCTCTTCCTCACAAAGGAGGTGGGAGCTAAAACGGTCTACCCGTTGCTTCCCTAATCTCAATGCATAAAATAGTATGTCAGTGTTCCTGTTTTTAGAAAAGCCTTGGGGTAGGGTGGTAGTAGAGAAGTTTAGAATTTGTGATCCATCTGTGCAGGAGAGCCTTTCCAAGATGAAGTAAATCTATGACCAATTTAGGGACTTGGTAACAGGGGCCCTGAACTTTCCTTACATTTTGTGTCTGAAAATCTATCAGCTAATAAATACCTACATACACACATGAATAAATAAAAATAAAATAAATGAAAATCTATCAGCTGAGCTCGTAATGATGCAGGAGGCATCTCCCATTCATTTAGCTGATCTTAATCTGCTGTATTCCTTCTGTATAGCAACTCCACCAGACAGTCCAATCTTTTCATTTTCTCTTCAGCACCTTTCATTAAGGAGAGATCTGGAGTCTACCAAGGCAGAATTCTGGGTGGGAACAGTAGTAGCTCTGCCTATTCTTATTAGGAGGTAGGACTCCTTGTGTTGGAATATGAGAAGCTATATTATAACCAGGGCTTAGATTCTTGAGAGCAATGCTATCCCCAAGTCCATAAATAGGACACCTAGAGTTAATGAGGCCCTTCTTGGAAGTCATGTGAAATCCTGGTTGGGTCAGGACTCGAGTTTCCTAGAGGCCCAAGATTCCTAGATTATCATGACTTTCACACGGAGCATCCTCAGGAAACACAACTCTTCCCCCAGGAACTCAAAACATCCCTTACACAGGGGTGGGTGGGAGGTGGTAATAATGTGCTTCATAATCATTTCCCATCTTTGGGCCTCTGATATTTCAGTGAGGTTGGATTTATGTTTACCTTTAGGAGAAGAAGACGCTGCTAATCTTAACCAGGTAACTGTGACATGTGATCGTCTTCTTCATTTTTTTTTTTTTAATTTAAGTAATCTCTACACCCAACATGGGGCTCTAACTCACAACCCTGAGATCAAGAGTTGCAAGCTCTTCTGACTGAGCCAGCCAGGTGCTGTGTCATGTAATGTTCTTTTGGGATTTCCTATAGGCCACAGCAGAGAGTCTGTGTTAGGATATTGGAGCCTTCAGCTTGAACTGTGACTACAAAAAGACTCCATACTTTTTCTGTTGTCATTCAGTGAGTAACTTTAAGAAAATCTTATAATTGCTATTTGTCTTGCTTTCCTTATCTTACTCAGGGATGTTGACAAGCTATTATCACTACAGACTTTAAAATCTATATTTATATATTAAATATGAAAGCAAAGATCAATGTCTCTTTCTCACAGACTAAAAAATAGCTGTACTACATAATTTTACTTTACTTGTCCCATGAGTTTCCAGGTCCCACTTAGCAGATTCCATGCAGAATCTAGGTAACTGCCTGTAAGTGACCAGATAAAATTAGGTCTTCAAGTTGATCAGCTGCAGGCTTATGTAGGTCACTCTTGCTCTCTTGTTGGGAAATTAAAAACTCAGGATGGTCAACTTAGGAGCCCATCATTGAGGGATGGCATTCTCCCTTTGCCTCTAGAGCTGAGGATGAGACTGTCAAGACTTTAGTAGATTCTACAGGTAGAGAACAGTCAGTGGCTGCTTTGAGGAAACTGTTCCTTCCTCCCCTCACCTTATAAAACATGTCCCCCTCTTCCATCAGCTTGCTCAACAGGATGATCATGATGTCTGGTTTGGAGGTGGCCATCGCCCATGTGGCTGGACCTGTAGTGTACAGGATGCATGATGGGTAAAAAACTCAGACAATGTAAGGGTGGCAGGAAGCTAGGTGAAAAAAACATCCTGGGGGATTTCTGCTGAGAGAACAACTTGCTCCACAACAACTTCCTCATCGTTTAGACCTGGGAGTATCTTAGGGACTCCCACTGCCAAGAAGCTGCGCTGGATTTGTATTCACCTTAAAATAAGAACATCTGAACTGTCTGAGCCTGCACCACAGGAGGGCAGCAAAGCCTGCCAACGTGTTGTATTTGGGCAGGCCATGGCTTAGCCTGGAGTTGTTTTAAATGAGGCTGGGAGAAAGAGTTTACATTCAATGTCACCAAGAGATTTAAAAAATCCAAAAAGGGCAGTTTATTTTAGAACCCGGGACTCAAAATCCCTAGCTGTTTAGTCTCTTAATTTAAAAATATGTCCTTTGCAGAAAGGGGAACCATTAAAGATTCTAAAGGCTCCCTTAATTTTAAGTAAGTATCAAATAGGCCTCCCTGGGATTTACTTTGAATCAGGAGCACAGTTCGAATGTCAAAAGACGTGAAACAAGCCAACATGACTGAGGACTACTTTACCCACAAAGAGAAAGAAGAGGTTAAACTGATTAGTTTATAGACGCCTGAATTATTTACCAACTAAGCTTTTCAGGGTTAGTTATCAAAAGTTCAAGTTATTCTCTACAACAGTCGTTAAAAAAAATCTTCTTTTAAGGTGAAGTAAATTAAAAGATTAGAGGTGTAGGGAACTCATGCAGGCTAAATCAAAGAGGAGAAGGCAAAGCTGACCAAGCCATCAGACCACGCCTGATGCTGACAGCGGTGAAATATACCTCGTGGGCGACTCGGTAACGTCTGACAACCTTCAAAGAAAGGAGAAAACAAAAAGTTGTAGGAGAGGAAAAAAAAATGGATGAAGGTGAAAAAAAAAAAAAAAAAGAAGGAAAAAGCAGCAGTGAGAGGCAGGCAGCAAAAAAGCCAGCATATCAGCCAACCCTCGCCTACAGGTCTGTGGGACGGGGGCGTGGATGGGACAGCAGCAGCAGGGACCGGAGAGTCTGAAGCACATACAGAGCAGGGGAAAGCAGAGGCTCATGGCAGTGCAGGGACCAAGGATGCTCACGGGTGGGGCTGGCACAGAGGCGTTGGCCCGAAGATGTGCTTAAGGTTAGAGCAGCCTCATGGCTAAGGCGACCAGGGGCACGGCAGATAACCGGGTGATTCTGGCACAGAGCAGTGGCGACCATGGCTCAGAGGGTGCTTTCTCTGGGCCAAGAGCCTTTCCGTTCACTTGGACAACAACTGGGCCAGGGCAGAGGGGGAACTATACACACTCACACCAAACACCCAGGGCAGCCAGACCACTGGACCAGTCTGGCCCCCGGGCACAGATGGCCAGGACCTTCTTCCTTTCCCCTACCTATCTTGGCTCCTTTCTTCAGAAGAGTGACAACAACAGAAGTGTTCCGGCACCCCACTGCTCTATCCAGAGGGCGCATTCCGCTGTAGTCGACGTGCTCGATCATGGCCCCGTGATCCACCAGAAACTGGACCTAGGACATGGATCAAGCAGAACAGTTAACACAGGGCCAATGGCTCAGCACCGCTCCACTGAGGGCTCTGGCTGCTGCCTGGACTTGATTCAACCGCTGGTCTGAACCAGGCCGGGTAGGTAGCCATGGGACTTCAGGCCACAGTTGTACTCTTGGTCTTTAATGGTGTTTTGAATATTCCTGTCCTCTAGCAAGTACAGGTCCAAGAACTTTCTATCAGGAATCATCAACATGTTACTCTACCCTTAACCCCCAAGAACATTATGGATGGAGAACCCTCCCTGTCCCTACCACCCAAAGGCCCGTGTAAAGGCACTCACCACCTCGGCATCACCGTAGAAAGCTGCCAGATCCAGTGGGGTGCGGCCGTTCTTGTCAGCGTGGTCCGTAGCAGCCCCATTATCCACCAGAGAGCGCACTACTGAGAGATGACCCTTCAAACAAGCCCAGCTGAGGGCTGTCAGTCCTTCTTTATCCATGAGAGCAATGGAGGCACCTGGAAGGGTGAACGCAGCACAGGGCTGAGGAAACACGAAACACGGGGCCATCCAGAGCAGGAGGGCAGGCTGGTACCGAGGCTGCACGCTCTGTCGAAGCACAGTCACGTCTGCTCCCACGTGGGGAATCTTTTCATTCCTGCCTCACTTTTACTCATTCTGTAGGGACCATTCCAAATCCCCCCGTTTCCAGGAAGCTTCTCCCGGCTCACTGTTCACCTCGTCTTCAATGTGCTTAAACACGTGTCACCTTATTCTGTTCTTAATCTTTTTTTTATGTATCCTACTTGCATGTAATAAATTCTCAGTGAATGTTTTCAGGACTCAGCAAAAGTCTTCCTTTTGTAATAGTATAAACTTCTGGAGAAATTCTCATAAAACAGAAGGAGCTCAGTCCATGTTTATCACTGGTGATAGCACCAGGCCAGGCTCTCTCTCCCTAGAATGCGGGGGAGATGAACTCATGGGAAGAAACTGAGCCCAGGCCACAAGGAAATTCAGAGTTTAATTAAACTTGTCAGCCTTCAGTGATCCCATCCTCACTCTCTTAGCCTTTCTGGTATTCTACATCTGTTTCTCTTCAATGTTCCTATATTTTCATCTGTAAGGATCAAGCATACTTGATACACTGTTTTGTAATTAGTCTAAAATTCAATATATATTTGGTTCTTAGCCTAGACTGTAAGCTCTTGGATGGCAAAGGGACTATCATTTCCTTGCTACTTTTGAAGAGCACCTAAGACAATTCTTTTCACACAGCTGACATGGCACACTAACTAAATTAGGATCAACTTACTGCCTACAGAACACTTTCCAGGCTGCCTCCTCAGCTAGACAGGGGTCAGATGTCAGATCAAGCTTAGCATGTGCCATAGCTAGGCTCAGGGTCTACTCAGCACTCCTCTGGCCTATCATGTTTTTACTCCTAGAGGTCAGACAACCAGACCTTGTGGCTTCCCACAGCAGGATGAAGGGCTGGAAGGGACCATACCTTTAACCCTGATGACAGCCATTTATGTACTGGGTTCTCTTTTCACAATGGTATAGTTTACAATGAAAACATCGACTCTTAACACAGAATGAATTTGAATGTGGGAGAGAATCTAAGGGGTTTTCTCAGATGGACCATCTATAAATTCCCTGGACAGAGCCTCCAACGGTAGAAGCAGCAGGATAAGAAGGTTCTGGATGTATATTACAGATAAGCTGATTTTCCAAAGATAAGGAACGCTGGAATTTAAGAAATTAATAGGAGATACATATGAAATAAAGCCATATATTCAAAATGCATCCAAAATTCAATATGTAATCTTCCCCTTCTCTCTTTTCTTCCCATTGCAGTTAGTGGAATCACACGTCTTCCAAACATCCACTTTAAAACTTTGGAGTTATCTTTAACTCAACTGTCATTATTTCCTACATATAATTACTCTTTATACCCAAAATCTTTTTGTACTTGGCCCTTCTGTTCTATTCTAACAGCTACTGCACCTGGATTAGAGCCTCGTTACTTCTCATCTATCACAGTGCTTCCTAATGGATCCCCCAGCCCACTATAATTCCTCCATCAAATCTACTATTCACACCCCTGCCAGAGGGATTTTTTTTTTTTTTTAAAGCACAACTCTGGCAACAATTCCCTTTAAAAAAATCTTGAAAGGCTCCCCATTGCCTTCAGAATTAAGTCCAAGCCCTCTTTTAGTCTGTTCCTTTTCACTTTCTTTCCACATGTTTCCAATTTTACTTCCCAAGAGCCCTCATGTACTTTACCAGACTTGAGTTATTGCCCCAAACCTGTTGTGTGCTGGATCTCCTCCTTGACTTTTCATTCATGTCCCCCTCCCTGAATACGAAACTTTTTTCCTATTCACCTTTCAAAGTCTGTCCTTTCCTAACTCAAATACCTTTATCAGAGCACTCAGGGTTCTCTGCTTTTCAGGTATTTATCTTCGTTTCATCCCCTCCTTGCCAGATTACAGAGTCTCGGAGGGCACAGATTATGGTGTATTAGTGAAAATCACTCACCGGCACAGCACTGGTATAGTGTTCTGCAAGTAACGGCAGCTAAATAAAGTTTTGTAGGATTTGTTGATTTAGTGGAAGTCTCTGATTTAAGTGTGAAAAAATGAAATACTGAGGATCCCTGACTTATGATGATCTGACTTACAATTTTTCAACTTTATGATGGTGCGAAAGTGACTCGCATTCAGTAGAAAATGTCCTGCGGATTTTGAATCTGGACCTTTTCCTGCCTAGTGTGGTGTGGTGCGATGCTCTCTTGTGATGCTGGCCAGTGGAAGTGAGCTGAAGCAAACCAGAAGGCCATGAGGATAAACAACAGATACACTTAGGACCATTCTGTTTTTCACTTTCAGTACAGTATTCGATAAACTACATGAGATATTCAGTACTATTATACAGTAGGCTTTGTGTTACATGATTTTGCCCAGCTGTAGGCTGATTTAAGTGTTGTGAACACATTTAAGGTAGACAAGGCTAAGCTATCATGTTCTATAGGCTAGGTGTATTAAATTCATTTTCAACTTACAATATTTTAAACTTGGGTTTATCAGAATGTAAGCCCATCATAAGTTGAGGAAGATCAGTTATACAAAGACCTGCATGTCTGCAGTGGTAAGGGAGAACAAATCTCTGGAATCTGTGTCTGATAAGCTTCCACGGGCGTGTGGCAGACACTATGCAGTGATCCAAAGGTTATCAGTGGCTGAAGAGGTCTTGCCTTTTCCAGTAGACTTGGGTTGTTCTGGGACATTTATTCCTGCCACATCTTATCCTGAGAATCCAGGTACACCCCCTATCCTCCTCCAACCCCCTCTTGGCAGAAGTAAGGGTAGATGTTACAAAACCAGACTCGTTTGTTGGCTTGTATTGGAGAAGCAAGAACCACTTTGCATGCTGGGAAAGCGGTTCTCTGGTTCTGACCCAGCACTGCGAGTCTGAGGCTGTGAAAACAAACAAATCTTCTTTGGAGGATACAGCTAAAGATCCAAAAAAACTTTGAGCTTTTAGTTTGAAATCTTAGAAGAAACCTCGTCTTCTTCTTAACTTGACGACCCTCAGTTGTGCTGGCCTGGTTATGATTCTTCAGGAGGTTGGCCTGCTTGAAGTAAATGTGCCCATAGATATAATTATAGATGTTTAGGTCCAGTTTACTAATAGGGAAGGCTAACTGGAATGGAGTCATTAGGCTGGTCACAATCACACTATCTCCTACTTCATGTAAATGCTCCAAGTCCACTAGATGGTACTGAAGAGTCATCAGTGACTTGAGTTTTCCTTCTACAGAAGTCCACCCTCATTCATCCCTATTTTGCATAGGTGACTGAGGTCAGAGCAATCAAAAGGAGGCTGAAATGCTTTTGAAGGTGGTGTGACCGCAATCTCTTTAACTTATTTCTCATTCACCAAGAGTATGTGAATGTTAATGTCAAAAGGAATTTATTACAATAGAAGATAATATAATATCCTGATTTCTCAAATAGGGTCCCACTGTCAGCAATTGTCTTAACCTCTGTTTGCCTCCTTTGGATTACAAGAAAAATATTAGTTGTACAGGCTTAAAAAAGAATTGATAAAAGTTAAAGAAAAAACAGTCCTTGGAAGATGAACATCTACTGAGTGTATATTAAAAAAAAATCAAAGTTTAGAGATTACAGATTTGAATTAGAGAATTTAGAATGCAAAGAATATCAGAATTAAAGGGTCCCACTGTATATAAGAGGAGAGGAGAGGAGATGGACTTTCACATTTTAACCAACTAGATTCATAATACATATTCTTTTTTTAAAAGATTTATTTAGAGAGAGAGAGAGAGAGAGAATGCACACATGTACACAGGGTGGGAGGGGCAGAGGGAGAGAAACTCAAATAGACTCCCCGTTAAGCAAGAAGCCCAATGCGGGGCTCAGTCCCAGGACCCTGAGATCATGCCCCGAGCTGAAACCAAGAGTCTGGATGCTCAACTGACTGAGCCCCCCAGGTACCCCAATAATATCTATTCTTAACATCTCTTAGAATCCATCACTGGAAATCATGAGTTCCTTGGATTATTATAGGCACTGACCATGCAGCTCTGGAATCCCAAGACTGACCTTGTGCAAGTAGAAAGTCCACAGTTCCCAGATGGCCTTCGGAGGCAGCCATCATCAGGGGAGTACGACCTTGCTTGTCTGCCATGTTGACATCAGCTCCATGGGTGAGTAAAAGATCAACAATCTGCAAGTGCAGAGAAACAGGGATGAATGAGCCAGGAAGAGCTGCTGAGTAGACACGTGCATGTTGCTCCCCACACTGGGGGATCTCCTCCTATTGTACAGGCAAGTCACCTCACCATGTAACTTTCTACTGCAAGGGTCCCTTTAACTCCTGCAGAGTCCTAGTACCATGTGATCTGATTTCAGACTCTCTTAAGGATAGCCAAATGAGAATTCAACTCTAAATGTCTGACTCAGCCCCTAAGTGAAAAAGAATTTAAGATACCAAACGCCAAGATGTAGACTAAACAATCCCACAGTGGAAGCTCCAACACAGGTCACTACCTATGCCAGTGCCATTTTATTGACCTCTAGGGGTTGCTAGTCTGCCTGTAGGGAATATTTATGACTAAAGTGAATACAACAATAAAGTGCCTCTGATAACTCTTTTATACTGTTTGGCTTCTAGAGCCTTTTTTCTACACAAATACTTCCAAAGATTATTACCAATCTGCTTTCTTTTCCATCCTAAGTATATAAATTAACACTTATCCGGAATTCAAACATCTGGAAAGATTGCATAGCTAGAATTTACCTACACCACATTTTCTTTTAGCAAGCTTGAGACATCTGCAAGACACCTGTTAGCAGGGATCTTTTGGGATATGAACCTTCCAGAGGACCTGTGAATATGTGGACGTGTGGATATGTGAGAAGCAGGTCACTCCATGACCACGCCAGAAGTAGCTAGTCCTTCTATACAATATAGATCATGATGATGATTTTTTTAAGAGATTTTTTAGAGATGGGCCATGATTTTGAATGTTAGGTTTCTGATATCTTCTCAATGAACGAGAATACTAATAACAAACGCCCAAGTCCTCAAACCCGATGACTGCTGAGTAACCCAAACTTTGTGGGGTTTTTTTTTTTTTTTTGCTCTCTGCTTCAGAAGTTCCTGTCTAGAACCCACCCCTACCTGAGGGACTGGAAGTAGCTACCCTGCTTACCTGCCAGTGGCCCTGGCGAACAGTGCTGAACAGGGGCACTGCCCCTCGGCGGTTTGGCTGGGCCACTGCTGCCCCCTGTTCCAAGAGCAGACGGCACACCTCCAGCTTGCCCCTTCCGGCCGCAGCTGTCAGTGCTAAGCGCAGAGAACACAGACTGAAAACAGGTGGGTCTTGACCTCCCCAGCCCTCTGTGTAAGCATAGCAGTGTATCTGTGCTTGATTAATGTAACTGCTACTTTACGTCCAAGGATGGTATTAGCTACTTTTGCCATGAAGGAAATTTTTAAAGAAAAATTATGCATAAAATCACATTCTAGTGGGCTTACAATATATGGAGACAATTGTAATAATACATTTATTAAAAATCACCTTTGATTAAACTTACTTGGTTTCATTTTTCCTACCCAGACTGTCTTCCCTACTTCTGACTTACCTCCTTTTTTGGTATCTCTTCTTAGCTACAAACCTTTCATGGGTGTGTATGTGTGGGGGGAATGTAGAGAGAAGGGCCTTGCAGAGTAAGGTTTTTTTGTTTTATTTTTAAAATATTTATTTATTTAAGATATTATTTACTTATTTGACAGAAAGAGTGTGAGAGAGCACAAGCAGGGGGAGCTGCACAGGAAGAGGGAGAAGCAGGCTTCTTGCTGAGCAGGGAGCCCAACGTGGGGCTTGATCCCAGGACCCTGGGATCATGACCTGAGCCGATGTTTAACCCAGGTGCCCCAAATAAGGTCTTTTTTAGAATTAGCTAGGAACCACTTCTGGCCAACCTCTACTCCTAGGCCCTTAAACCTAAAGAACCAAAGCCAGGAATGGCAGTCTCAGGTTCTTGGGCCAGTTTTCTTTTCTTCTTCATTAGTTGAGACAGAAGTTTCGAGTACATCCGGAACCATTTTCATATAAGGGTCAGAACTGTTCAAGGTAATAGTCTTAAAGATGAGAGAAGAGGTGTGACAAAGGCTCTTCTGAATATAAAATAATGGAGTCACTGATAATAAAAATAGCTATAGTGACTACAAGGGACACAACAGGGAGAAACTTAAACATTCTTCATTTTGTGCTATTATCAATTGTTTATGATCTCTGAGAGAGTGGAGATTCATGAGGGCCTATTTCATTCTCTGAGCGCTGTGTCAATAGTAGCACGAGGGATTTGGAGACAGATTTTCTACTAAGTCCATATTTGAACAAATATATACATATATATTTCATTTGACCATGGTGTCTCAAATGCATAGGTTCAGTGTTTTAAAGAATGGAGGAGGGTGGGGAGGATGGTAAACACTGTTAGAAGGTGGCAGGAATTATGCTTTTAAAGAAAGAGGATAGAGAGCTTTGTTCCCAAACTGACTTGGACACCTGATGTGGTGGCCAGCAAGTCGTTCCTTGATCATGGCCATCTACTCCAATGGCAAACCAGAAAAAGATAGTATTTGGCAAGTGCAGATAATATTTCGGTTTGCAAATGTTCATATCTAATCAGGAAAGCAACTGAGATTCAAATCAAATGGTCACTTGAAATTTTTTTCATTCAAGAGCAACTGGTGGCATTTTGTCTTTGGGCTTGGTCAAATTCATCCACAACTGATTCATATGCAAAGTCAAACTACCTGTCAAACCACTAAGATAAGCCTTCAAGTAATCTTTTCTTTCCTCGAGGATAAGAATTTATAAAGGAAAATGTGACAGTTTTAGAAGACATATTTACTCAAACTAGATGTGTCTTATGTGTATTTTCAGTTTTATTTTGGAACTCTTAACAGTGGCATTTCTGTCCTATTCCTCACAGCAGGCCAGAGGTTTATCTGAGGTGAGGGTCATTTCTAAGCCCTGAATGAGTGAGTATAGGTATTGATGGGTATGATTATTTACTTGACTAAGAAGTTTTGTGTCTTGTTCCTTACATCAAAATGATCTTTGCCAACTTTATATTTCTTTTTTTTTTTAAGATTTTATTTATTTATCTGAGACAGAGAAAACACAAGCGGGGGGAGGGGGAGGGACAGAGGGAGAAGCAGGCTCCCCACTGAGCAGGGAGCCTGATGCGGAACTTGATCCCAGGACCCTGGGATCATGACCTGAGCCGAAGGCAGACGCTTAACCGACTGAGCCACCCAGTGCCCCAAGAACCCAACTTTATATTTCTAACAGTTCAGAAAAAACAAACAAACAAAAAACCACAACACTTTAATTCTTGGGTCAGAACACAAGAGTAGCTTAAGAACTTGACTGGAAACCATCATGTCGCACACCTTAGTTTACACGTGTATATATAAATGAGCTCTCAGTAAAGCTGGAACAAAAATAACCTGACTGGGGTCAACACTCATTAGGAACCATAAGGATCATCTTGTTGGTACATGAAACAAATGACTTGGAAAATTTCTAACTCTTACTTTCTGATTCCATTTAAAGTAGCTATGCAGCAAACCTCACTTTTAATGCCCTGTGTATGGTGGGGGGAGGGCAAATACATTCTTTTTCACAAAAGAATTTGTAGCCTGCTGGAGAAAATATTGCCAGTATTTCAGAATCAAGCCTTTCACCAATGATGCCAGCTCACAGAACACTGCTGAAAACTTAACAACCAGCGCCCATCTTGAAAGCTAAAACTTCTATTGTTCACTCTAACCTGGAGTTATATTGCTCTGGCTGGCGCATTTCAGCTCATTGGATAACACATTTATACGAGAGGGAATGTTCCATTTGGCTGTTTTCTTTGTTGTATCATCTCTGTTGCTTAGGTTATGATGTAACTTGGCAGGAATCTCCAGCTGATAGCTGGACATGGTCATTAACACAGCTGGCCAATTTCATCTCAGAACAACACAACTATGTACAATGGGATCTGTACTTTTAAAAAATCCAAGAGCAGAAAACTGCTTTGGCTGGATTTTATGTAAGTCTTATCAAAAACTGTTAAAACTTTTTGAAAGAAGATTAAGGTAAAGTCGGTTCTGTACAACAACACACTGGTTCTTAGAGCAAACACAGCAGTTTGGAGCCAAATCTCTTCCTTAGAGACCAGTAACAGAATTTGTTCCCTAGCTTGTCAGCAGCTGATGAGATTATCTGACATAAATGGTCCTTTTTCAAAGTGAAACATCTAAGGAGTCTGAAGAGGCAGACAGGATGCAGCACAGAGTTGGGGAAATAGCCAAAGTCGGCTTGGATGGGATGGGGATACTAAACAGAATGCGGCAAAGCAAATGGTTCTTCTGTTTATCTATTTTCAACTGTGAAAGACTGTAGCACAGACAGGTCATGCAAGACCAATGAGAGACAGGTGGTTGGGGAGACATAAACTGATCACTGCTATCCAAAACATTAAACATTTATTGAACTATTTGTCAGACACTGTCTCTGCTCTCAAGGAACTCCAGGTTGAGTAAGGATAACAGACAAAAATTACATTGCTATCGAGTGTATAAGTTGTATGGAGGTATAACACAGAGGAAGAAGTGTCTGAGAAGGTCTTCAGGAAGAGATGTTCATCTGAGCTAGATGCTGAAAGAGAAACAGAAGACTGAGCGCAGGCCAGGCACAGGGAGAGCACGTACAAAGGCACTGAGGTGGGAGACAGCAAATTTATTGTTACTGGAGTTACTGGAGAAGCCAGGCAATAGATAAGGCTAGAGATCATGACTGGTCTTCTTAGGCTACACTATATAACTTCATTAATGGTACAGGTGGTCAATAAAGGGTGGTAAGCAGGAAAGTGACATCAACAAAGATCACTCTGGCGGAAGTCACAAGGGAGATGAATCACAAAAGGGTGACAAGATCAGAGATCAGGCAGTTGCAATAATGTAGGCAAAGGATGATAAGGGCATGAGTTACGGGTATCTCGTTTATTTTGTCAACTCTTGCTTCTTTTGGGTCATAGGACGGTTCAGGCCCTCCAGAATTGCTAGATGATTTTTAATGCTGGTCCCAGTCTAAGCTTATAGGACAAGGAAGAAGAGGGAGTGGTGAACAATCTAATTGCTTTTCTTCTGTACTGTTCCATAAGAAATCTGTGAAAACCCTATGGGATGGGAGGAGGCCAGGCAGATGGTGGAGGCTGGATGTAGGCAGATGCTATTTGGAAGAATAAAGAGGCTGAAAAAGGAGGACAAAAGCAACCAGGATATTCTAGTGACCTGCTTTTAGAAAATCCGCTCTGTAAAAATTACATCTCAATTATTATTTCACTATAGGCTAAGATAAATTTCACTGATTCTAAGATGCACTTTTTTCCCTTCATATTTTTTTAAATTTTACTTTATTATGTTATGTTAGTCAACATTCATTACATCATTAGTTTTTGATGTAGTGTTCCATGATTCATTGTTTGCGTATAACACCCAGTGCTCCATTCAATACATGCCCTCCTTAATACCCATCACCAGGCTAACCCATTCCCCCCAACCCCCTCCCCTCTAAAACCCTCAGTTTTAACACCTCTAAAACTGGGATGCGTCTTGTGATTGCTGTGATAATAAAGAACTGTGTCAGTTTAATAGGCTGAGGCTTTTTTTGTAGTGGCACATAAAATAATGGCTATATAGTTTCCTATAGTTAGTGGTGTCTTAGATTTGATATAGTAAGGGATACAAACTGTTGGGAACATCACAACCTTTTGATTTTCCTTAGGTAAAAATTGTGTTGTTTAGACCAGGGCTGCAGGTCACAAACCTTCATTCTCTAAATAAGGCGGACATGTGTAAGATTTTGCCATTGGAGAAAACATCACAATTCACTGGGTCATTACACATTTTAAATGATTATGTGCTATAAGGTAGAAAGAAACATGTATATTTAGTAAATCTATCACGATAGATAGAAAAGCAACTCATAGTCTGTTCTATATTGGTGGAGAGGTATAGGGACATTTTTACACAGCACAGACATTATTTCCTAGAAATTTTCCTGAAGCCAAATAATTGTTTATAGATCTATAAATTGTATTACAGATGCATTTCATTCTAGCACTATTTAAACAGCATTTTATGTTTATAATGCTGAAATTATTTCATATATGTATCAAGTTAAACACAACACAATTCTGATTACAAGCCAACTGACATGAAGCTTTGATTTTTTTACAATCTTGAGATATGGTACATATTTAAATAAATTACTGTAACAAACTTTGTTGTGCATGTTAAAGTGAGATTTTTTAAAAAGTCCTGAGGCCATAAAATTTTATTCCTTTTTTTGGGGGGGGGAGAGAGAGAGAGAGAGAGAGAGAGGTGCAGAGGAAGAGGGAGAGAATCCCAAGCAGGCTCCATGCCCAGGGCAGAGCTGACATGGGGCTCAATCTCACAACCCCGAGATCATGACCTGAGCTGAAATCAAGAGTCCGAAGTCTAACCGACTGAGCCACCCAGGCGCCCCCATAAAGTTTTATTCTAATAAGAAATTTGTATCAATAAAAATAAGTCTTCTACTTAGTTCACTCCCCTTCTTGAACATTTTTAAGAAATCCTTTCAAGTACAGCACTAGAATATGTTTGATATTCACCACTATGATTGCTGGCCTTATAATTCCTATCCATACCCTCATCAGGCCATACTCTTTTCTGCCCTCCCCGGGGGTTCCACGTGCACAGCTGGCAACAGGAGCCTGTTGGGAGGTTCAGCAACACTGTGCTGGGCAGGGCCATGCTGACGGGAACAGTAAAGCACCATGCCCCTTCTGCAGCTCTCAGTCACAATATACATGCTCCAAAACTGCTGGTGTCCTGGTCAGTCCCTTCCCCGAAGTCCGGCCCCTGGTTTCCCGCGGGGAAGAGTCCCAGAGACAGCAGCTGTTTCCAGCTGCACGTTTTCCTTTAATCTGTCACGGGCTCTGAAGCTGCAGCTGCCTGACATCTGTTCCCTTTGGCTCTTACAGAGGGAAGGGATAGTTGGAGAAGCAAATTCCTGAGCTTTGGACCATTCCACATCATGTTAAAGAAGCCATGAATGGAAACGTCACAATTTGATAGGTCGTGACAAATTTTAAATGAATTCAAGTGCCTCCTTTATTTTTAATAACACTCTGACTCTAACTAAAATACACACCCTCTCTGTTTAAGAAAATATTCCCCCTAAGTTGGCCATCTCAATATTGGTCTGCTTCTCCTGGCAAACATGACACATATCTGTGGTGACTCTATAGTTTGCCCTGGCTTCATAACAAGACATAAAAGGTTACTGTTTCTCCAGATGTTCCAGTTTAGACTTGGGGGAAAGACAACAATCATTTCCTGCAAAGGCCACAAGGAAGAAGCTTCTGTTTGTGTAGTAAGTACCAAGCAATATAGACATCTCTTGGCTATAGATCAAGAGGGACTGCATGGGGCTGTGCCTTATAGGGTGGTACCTTCATTTTGCATCCAGATAGCAACTTTACTCAGTATATAGCAGTTTAACCACATCAGACACCACTCTGCCATGATAACACTTGGTTAAGCCAGAGGTGTGGATAAAAGTTTAACCTCCTGGTTTACAACTGCAGGTGGAGTTATTTTGATGGGAGAAATATTCATACCTAACTGCTACAAGAATCCCATAAAAGAATTTTCTGCTCTGGTTTGGCACATTGTAAGGAAACTTTCAGTCTTTTACAATTATTTGGAAACAAGAGCAGGGTAAAGTTTTGGTTGAAAGACAACTCCGGTGCTAATGATTTGGAGAATCCAAAGGGAAAGAGGACTGGAAGAAGGACATTGCTTGACTTTTTACTTTGGCTGAGTCCATCTCCAGCACACAAGCCATAAGACTGAGGCTGCCAAAGGTATGCCAGAGGAACAATCAGGGTGTGAGATGCAGAGTATCTCCACATGAACACAACACATTAATGAGAAAAGGGAGTAATCCACGAGAAGTACCTGTCTCTCCCCAGAGACTGTCAAAACTGTTGATCTGTGCTCGCTCTACTTCTTCTTCATCTTTTTCTGGAAGATCAAGTAGGTAGGAGACAATCTGGAACGAGAAGGTGTGTCAGTTCAAACTTCAGGTGGGAAACTACGCTACCAGCTCTGGCCTGTGAGGTTTGAAAGACGCCTGGATGACCCGAGTGTGATGCAATCGCTTGCACACAGAAGAAACCAGAACTGACTATCCCAGCAAAGAAACCCAAAGTGGCCATGATGAACATTTGTTTTATCAGGTACAGTTTATATGTTTCTCTTGAACACAACTCACACAGCATGTGATTTTTAAAAAATTATTTATTCCTCATCTTTAAGTTAAAGAAGCAAACCCTCATCCTCCCAGTAAAAATACCAATAAAGAGAAAAAACCCAATCAATCAATAAAAACCAGAAAACAAATATGGAGAAAACGTAGGGCCTCTATTTCATCAGAGTAGAGCAATGATCTTCTTTTTCTGCTTGGAAGTACAAGGACTGCTTTGGGGATAATAAAGGGAGAATGACTATTAATATTAAAAAGGAAAGCAACAGCTCTGTTTCCAGGAATTTGCCTGTAGAGAGAGTTTAAAAACCTACAGATATTAAAAATTCCAGTTTTACTTAATATTCCCTTGGTGACATATGCGGTCAGTTGGCAGGGGAGCTGTGTCACCGAAGCTTCCCATGCAGTGGTGAGCCAACACGTTCTGGCCCCTGAAAGTGGAGCATTACATTTTCAGGAATTTTGTAAGCCGGTTATTAAAGATGTTTATTAAAAATTAAATAACAAATAAATTATATTAAAAACAAAGGTTAAAAAATAAAATCTCACGACTTCTTAATTATTTAACTACACTCTATCTATGCTCTTGAGGTTATCCATATGTATTGTGTTGTATGGTGGAAACAGCCCATCACGGTATGTGCTCCTATGCATCTCTTCACGACATCACAATGGCAGCTCCGTATCAACCGTGGTGAGAGCATTTACACCTTGGAAATTGGCAAACATTATAAATCAAGATTTGATTCAGTGCTAATGCTCCAAGGGGCTCCAATTTAATGAATATGATTTGTACGAAGGTGAGAAGTAGTTTAACACAGATCACGTATCAGATTTAATGACAAGAAAATTATTGGGAAAAGAACAAAAAAGATCATCTATAAATGATCAAAGAGTTGCAACCACAGGTTGGCTTCAGATATAAATTTCACAAAAGTCAAGAATTCCATTATGCATACTGTATATTTCATTATCTGTAAACTGTATGCTACATGTTCTTCATATCAGTAAAATTTATACTAATTTTTTTAAAAGAATTTTTAACTTATTTATTTGACACAGAGAGAATACAAGGACAGGGAATGGCAGGCAGAGGGAGAAGCAGGCTCCCCGCTGAGCAAGGAGACCGATGCGGGGCTCAATCCCAGGACCCTGAACTGAAGGCAGCCGCTTAACTGACTGAGCCACCCAGGCGCCCCAAATTTATACTAATTTTAAGTATGTATGTATGTACACACACACACACACACTTCCGCTCTACTACACAACCCTCCCGGAACTGGATGTTCAACATTTCCTAGCAATTATCGGTTCCATACATTTGTTACCATATTATTATTATGATTCGTAAAACAATTTAGCAAAAATACTGTTTGTATAGTGTTTAACAGCTTACAAAGCACCTTTCATACCAGCTGTGTAAAAAAGAATATATTAGACTAATTTTACTGATGAGAAACGAAGGTTCTAAGAGATTAGGTAAACTGCCCAAGGTCCAGAGTGAATGAGTAGTAAACTGGGACTCCAACCTGGTCCTTCTGAGATTTCAGATGTGGTGCTCTTCCCATTCCACACTGCCTACCCATGTGAGCACACGTCAATAAATAATCCCCAGGAGCTGAGTGTCACTGTCTGTTAAATAAGGGTGGCAAGATGGGGAGGAATTGGATTAGATGATTTCCAAAATTCTTTTCCACTCTCAAGGGCTGTGTTCATAATTCTAGATATACTATTTGAGAATTCAAGCACTTCATGGAGTTCAGTCTCCTATTCCTCAAAACAGTGACCAAAACGCTAATCCACATTAATTAGGCAGCTAATTTTGTAATAATGCCACCCTTTTCCCGTTTCCTAGGTCCTTCAATACACAGCGTGAAAAAAACTAAAAACCCTAAACCTTATCACTTGCTTTCTTACCTCCGTGTACCCCATGCTGGCTGCAGCAATGAGGGCCTGCTGGATGGCATGGCTCTTCTTAAATACTCCTTGCTGCTGGCCGGCCATCGTCCAGTCACACTGAATCAAAAACTTGACAACCTCCAGGTGACCTCGGAGTGCAGCATGGACCAAAGCACACTGCCCATTCTTGTCCAAATGATCCACCTAAGAGGAAGGAGAAATGTATGTGAACAAAGATTTGTGGCCATGCTAATCCAGTCACATTGGTCCACTGCACACGACTAGACTAGAGAGAGTCATCCCTTCCCATACCCTGAATCAATCTCTGAGAAAATCTAGAAAATTCTCTCCTACTCAGGCTAGATCACTGCTGAGCTTGAACTCTGGTAGACGCCCCTCAGGGGAGAACCTCTTTTCATAAGGTCAGGCTTTTGTTTTCACAGAAAAAGGAACCAAAAACCCAAAACTCCCAGGTCCAGCTCTGTTTTCCTGAGGTATATTCTCCTTTGTCCTCAAACAGTTCCTTTCAGACCAAGATTTGAAAGACTTGTAGCTCTGCTGGCACAAAAGAACTGTCTCTGAAATCATGAAAGGGAAGAAAAACATTTTGAAGCTCACATTTTTTGGTCTTCCAAAGAAGCGAAATACCTCATATCATGAATCATACTTCTGACCACCAAGCTTTGGTGAAGGCTACTTTCTTCTTCCAGTGGGAGGGCAGAATCTCAAAGATCTGGCCAACATGGCCAGAGGTACTTGGAGCTTAATGCTAGACTACGTTCCAATAGTGGCTTTTATGGTTGCAGTGTTGGTTGAAAGAAGAGTCTGGTTAAGACTGATTTACCAGAAGGAAGCCACAAAGTTCACCAGAAGAGTAGCCTTTTCTGGCAGGTAGGCTTCCAGGGGCAGTCAGAATACTTGAAACATAAGTTCTGCATCTGGTTCTCCCCAGCTTTAGTTCCACCAGCAATCTACTTTTTTTTCAACTTTTCTTTTTATTACGTTATGTTAATCACCATACATTACATAATTAGTTTGTGATGTAGTGTTCCATGATTCATTGTTTGAGTATAACACCCAGTGCTCCATTCAATACGTGCCCTCTTTAATACCCATCACCAGGCTAACCCATCCCCCCACCCCCC